CTTGTCGATTTAGCCTTATAAATCTGGCTTGAAGTTGTATTTCCCCCAAGCAGAATGTACTCATGTCAGACTGGAAATGCATGGAGGTGTGTATTGTTTTTCAGCCTTCTGGAAATGGAGGTGAATGGCCCGTTTTGTTTACATCGCCTGACTGTCAGTTAATGGTCTGATCATGCTTGATATTACTCCCGATTGTTTATTGGTAATGAATGATCCTCAGGTTGCGTGATTGAAACCTATTAACAACACACGTGTTGATCAACCTTGATAGTCAGTACGCCAAATGTATTTCGTGTAAAGTTGATATTAAAGAGTAAATATCAAGATATGATATCAGTTTGGTTTGGATCTCCGTAATGAGGACCTCGTCACACTGAGACCTTGTCACAGTGAAAACCTCATCACAGTGAAAACCTCACCACACTGAAAACATTGTTACAGTTGTATCTCGTCACAGAGAAGATCTCGTCACAGTGGAGACCCTGTCACGCTGAAGACCTTGTCACAGTTGGATCTCGTCAGAGAGAAGATCTCGTCACAGTGAAGACCTTGTCACAGTGAAGATCTCCTCACAGTTGGATCTCGTCACAGTGAAGACATTGTCACATTGAAACCTCGTCACAGTGAAGACATTGTTACAGTTGGATCTCGTTACAGTGAAGACCTTGTCACGCTGAAGACCTCCTCACAGTTGTATTTCGTCACAGAGAAGATTTCGTCACAGTGAAGACCTTGTCACAGTGAAGATCTCCTCACAGTTGGATCTCGTAACAGTGAAGATCTCGTCACAGAGAAGACCTTGTCATAGTGAAGTCCTTGTCACAGAAAAAACTCTCGTAACAGTGAAAACCTCGAAACAGTGAAGACCTCGTCACAGAGATCTCGAAACAGTGAAGACCTCCTCACAGTTGGATCTCGTAACAGCGAAAACCTCGAAATAGTGAAGACCTCGTCACAGAGAAAATCTCGAAACAGTGAAGGCCTCGTTCAAGAGAAGACCTTGTCACGGTGAAAATCTCGTCACAGTGAAGACTCTGTCTACAGTAAAGACCTCGTCACAGAGAAGATCTCGTCACAGAGAAAACCTCGAAACAGTGAAGACCTCGTCACAGTGAAGACCTTGTCACAGTAAAGACCTCGTCACAGAGAGGCCTTGTCATAATGAAGATCTCATCACAATTAAGACCTTGTCATAGTGAAGACCTCGTCAAATTGAAGACCTTGTCACACTGAAGACCATTGTCATTTGAACAAAAAAACTAAGTTATCCGTGCCTATATTTGTGATATTGCGATGTTTCAAGAATTTCATTTCATTTCATCACTATCCCCTACAAAATGCATTGTCATAGTGAAGATTTCATGGTTAAAAGTAGACTTGTTTACACACCAATAATTGTATTGTCTGAAGAATTTATTTAGGCGCGGCACAGCGTGACAAGTGCATTTCAAACTGATCAATGCTGACATTGATGTCTGCAAGCTGAGGAAAGGAGAAAATGAGCAGTCGCTCGTTAACAGTGATCTGTGTTGAGATTAACACAGAGCCGCAGGAAGTGCCGAGTACAAATCCATCAAAGGTGGAACTGTACCTTAAAGCGAGGGAAAACCCCTTCCCTGATCACAATAATACCATGTAAGAGCTAGGCGCCCAGCGGGATCGGGTGGTCAGGCTTGCTGACTTTGTTCATGCATGTTGGTTGGTTGTTGTTTAACGCCGCACTCAGCAATATTCCAGCTATATGACGGCGGTCTGTAAATAATCGAGTCTGGACGAGACAGTCAAGTGATTGGCGTCATGAGCATCGATCCACGCAAATGAGATACGATGACATGCATCAACCAAGTCAGCGAGCCTGACCACCCGATCCTGTTAGTCGCCTCTTACGACAAGCATAGTCGCCTTCATGCATGTCATCGTATCCCAATTGTATTGCAGTAAAGACCTGGTCACAGTAAGAACTCATAACAGTGAAAAACTCGCCACAGTGAAGACCTTGTCATAGTGAAAACTTAGTAGCTTCCTCGCTAAAATGCATTGTCGGAATGTGTATTGTATCTTCAAATCATTATTACACGATCAGAAGCATTGAAACAAACCCTATTAAAAACCTCTCTCTCTGTTAAACAGAAACGTGTCATTAGACTAGATCACAGATTCAAGTTAAACAGACATTTAGACGAGACCGGAAGAACACGATGAAACACGAATCGATCATTTTATTGCCTAAGAATTTAGAATTGTTGCTGTTATTGTTTACTTTTTATATATTTATTTTATGCTTGTAATCATACTACTTTATTGACACATTTGTTCATGTATATTTACAATCTATAGCGTCTCTGTCTACACAGAACTGTGCAATATATAATCAATGTCAAAGTAGAAAGCCCTATGAAAGGGAGCGAATCCATTAGTCGTGGTATATTTGGGACTGACTGTGCCGTTTGATGTTTAAAAAACCCATTCCAAATTCAGGGCACTTTTGTTTTGTTTCAAATGTCAAGTCTAATGACATTACTGTGTTTCACACGTGGTGTTAACGACATAGCCGTGGGGTGTATTGACATAAGCTTACAGCTGTGGGAGATCGCCATTATTTAAGATAGAAACGACTCGTGGTCGTTGTTTATCGTACAATGAAACACTGCAGGGATAATAAACCACTCGGGACGCATTATATGAGAAGTCAACATTATGTACAGCCCCTTTAGGATGATGATAAAGTGTAAAAGCTTTGAAAATATTTACCCATATTTAAATGATGATGACTCCCTCAATAGAATCAGATCTCGGCAATGTAGGACAGTTCATTTTATGAACAGGTAGGTATTTCTCGCACATTCCCTGAGGGCTCATGCCATTACGTTTACCTTTTCTCCCAACACCGATTGTCATATCTCTCCAACCTTTGATGTGATCGTTCAGCCATCGCGTTTATCTGCGTAGCCCAGCTACGTCTATGGGGAACAACTAGCAGGATACTACTTCCCTCACAAAAATAACGTTGTCCAATATGTGACGTCATCAAGTTGCGAGCGCATGTTGGAATCTCCAGAAATGACATCATGATAGAACACTGTTTTACCGTGAAATACATATAAATAAACCAGCCTACATTTTCTGCCGAAACAGAGTCCATTTGTAAAAATTTGTATTTATATGGACCACTGAAAATCAGTGATGACACCAGGTGTTCGCGAACTATGTCTTATCGTGAAATAAACCACGTTGGTTGGTTGCTTGTTGCACTCAGCAATATTCCTACTATATGACGGCAGTCTGTAAATAATCGAGTCTGGATCAGAGAATCCAGTGATTGGTATCATGAGCATCGATCCTCGCAATTAGGATCGATGACATGCTTCAACCAAGTCAGCGAGCCTGACCACCCGATCCCGTTAGTCGCCTCCTACGACAAGCATAGTCGCCCGTGGCAAAAAATAACAAACCACGCTTCGTTCTTCGTTGTTCTTTGTGATTTATCACGAAGCTATCTTATATATAGTATTAACCATAAATGCAGTATGAACTTTAAAGGACTTGGGATGATTCGAATTCATTCTGATGAATTCCTTTATTCTAAGGTCCTTTGGGAAAAACAAATAACAATCTCCACGAAGACCTGAAACAAAGTCGAACAACTGCTAGTGAGAGGGACATTCACTACAGTGATAAACAGAGAAGCAATTGGGAAACAGAGAGTTATTGAGTGAGGTATAACACCACTAGGAACAGTATTTCAGTTAAATCAGAGCATATATGGCCCCGTGTCACCAAGAGGATTAAGAGGAAAGCCCTATGTGGTGCAGGTCTCAGACGTTTACAACGTCGATGAATACAATCACGGTATCGCGGACGGACTACGGACTGCCCAATGGAAATATGAAAATGCTGAGGTCACTGTCACAAATAATTCATTTGCTCTCCTTATTCTACTAATCCATCCGAAAGGACGGTGAACTAAAAGTTTACTTTGCAAGATTTAGATGTTGACATTTCAAATTAATGACAACAATTGGTAGCTTTAAAGACATTCCATTCCACTGGAGTGTATATTGTTTGCAGGAAAATGTGTGTTGGATAGACGATGAGCTCAGTAAAAAAGCAGTCTGCCCGTTGTGTACTGACCTTAGATTAAGGGAATACCCATGAATATGTTTAATTTAACCGATACTGAACAATTGCAATGTTAACCATGTTCAAGGAATTGCTCAACATCTAATACATCTGTTTGAGGTACATGCAACATTTATGTCGTTAGTTTGTTGTTTACTCAACCCACAACATAATATCATTCAGTATATGATTATTGCTAAAGCTAACTTATATCTGCGATTTATGGATACCTTGTATCTAAATCATGTCACCTCTCACCGTCCCAAAAAACTTTATGCCCATTGTTCTCTTTCTCTCTCTCTCTCTCATCATGTCATGTCCTCAGTTCAGTTCCAATAATAATTTAAGAGACGCACGGTGACAAAAATACAATTTCCTTAAGTTTTCGTTCCAGCTTTGGATATCAAAGTCAATATATCTGCGCCTAAATAATGCATAAAATGACATACATTTCCAGTTTCAACCAGGCATAATCAAAACTTATTTCAATAATACCACTATTTGAAGAATAGGTAGCAACCCATGCTTGTCGTAAAAGGCGACTGTGCCTGTCGTAAGAGGCGACTAACGGGATCGGGTGGTCAGGTTCGCTGACTTGGTTGATCCATGTCATTGATCCCAATTACGTGGATCGATGCCCATGATGTCAATCACTGGCTTGTCTCGTCCAGACTCGATTATTTACAGACCGCCGTCATATAGCTGGCATATTGCTGACTGCGGCGTTAAACAACAAACAAACAAACAAACAAACAGTTCTGTGCACACAATCAAGGAAACTAGCAATAACATTTCACCGTATCCCGTTTATCACCGAACTGTTTATTCAACTGAAGTCGTTCATCTAACACTAATTAATGTTTTGTCAATTTTTGTTTCAGGTCTTCATGGCGATTGTGGTGTTATTTGTCATCGCTTCGATGTTCGTAATCGTGGCCAGTACTCATCCTTTGTTCCAAAGAAACCTCAGAAAACGGGAATGGGAGGAATACCTCGGGGATGAATTCCAGTCACAACTGCCAGTCCTTCAAAAATTTAATTACATTGATGACTATGACGACGTTTATGACGATGAAGAATACGCCTATTATGACGTCACCTCAACTACCGATCACAACACAACACAATCGTCACCGACACCAAAAGACTTGAAAAACTTGCCGAACAAGAACACCAAAATAGCCCAAGCGCATGCGCGAGTCGATTCCTTGAAATACATTGAGTACGCCGCTCTCATTTTTTTCACGTTCGAGTTTTTATTGAGACTTCTGTTTTGTCCAAGTTTAAAGCTGTACGTCACAAACGTTGTCAACGTTTTTGAATTCATCGCTCTGGCGGCCTTATACATCAGCGCTGGACTGGAACTGTTTATCCCGTCGAAACGTTTCACAACCACTTCCGCTGACATCATAGAATGCGTGCAGTTCATGCGCATTTTCAGATTCCTCCGCCTTGTTAAAAACGTCACAGGTTTCCGTGTACTCATGTACTCCTTTAGATCCAGTGCCAAAGAACTACTTTTACTGTTATCCTTTCTTGCTTTGGCCGTTCTGCTGTTCGGTAGCGTCATGTTTTACACAGAAGACAATAACCAAGTAGGAAGTATTCCTGATGCATGTTGGTGGGCCCTGATCACCATGACAACGGTCGGCTATGGTGACGTCGTCCCGAGATCATTTGGTGGCAAACTGATCGCGGCGGGGTGTGCGATTAGCGGTGTCTTGCTGTTGGCCGTAACTGTTCCCATCTTCGTGAACACCTTTATCTTGTTCTACAGCTACTCAAGGGTCATAGATACACGCGCTCTTGAACAGAGGAAGGAGCAGAGATCAACCAGCTGCCAGGTATCTTGCGAGATTTCAAACAAAATTAGTCCTGTCAGAGAAGGAGTGAGAATGAAAAAATTCATGTCGCAATAGGACCCACTGAAAGTGAGACTGCTTCCGCGGTCTTTTGGATCGAACCCCTGTCCGGAGAGCGGATGGTCGGGTGTTCGACTCCCTTGCCACGTCATAACAAAATACGTCAAAGATGGTAATTGTTCTTACCCTGCCTGGCGCTCGGCATTAAGGTATATTAGGACTTGTCAGCTCGAAGTCGGTATAATGTGATAAATGCGGCATGGTATCTCGATGGGCACAATAAACCCATACCAGGACAGTCACACACGCGCACGCGGAAGCGCACGAACACGCACACACGTGTTGATGCACAGTGCTATATTTGTTTATTATTAATAATCATGGACATCGATGTTGAACCCCATTTCACTGCACCTCACACATTCAAAGACACACACAGTCTACAGTCTGTATGTCAGTAGCTCTTGTTAGTCCACGAGAGGTCTCCTTGTCTGTCAGCCCTGTGCTCGTGGGTTTCACTAAAGTGTTAAACGTCTGAAACCGTTCCTCCCACATTAAGCTGACGCGCCGTGAAATAAATGGAAAACTGTTCAAAGCGGCGTTAAACCCAACTCACTCACCCTCTCAAGAAGTTGTGGTTCATTACATTTAGAGACGTTTCGATGTAGATTCTTGCACCGTTATCAAGCTGGAGCATCTTCCCTAGGCAAGAGTGTTCACACCCTTGCTGAACGAACTACGCTGGAATTTTTGGGCTCGATCGTAGCTTCACCAGTGGCTATTACGAGTTATGTTCCTTCTATGTCCACACTACTGTCCAATCAGATTTCACCTCTCATATCACATGCATTTGCTTCCAACAAAATGGCGGCGCCTAGCCGTGACGATCTCATCGATATATAGATCTTTATTGTAATAAAACGGGCTTTTCCTCGTGAAGTGCATCAAATCACTTGAGCATCTTGATGAAAAACATGAAAAGATTTGGAAAATATGTGTCGACGACGAGTTGACGGTACACATACTCTGCAAATCCAGCACTCGAACGAATTCGGCACGGCAGGTAAAACCCGTTTTATCACAATATAGATCTTGATTATCGATGGAATCATCTTTACTGGGCGCCGCCATTTTGTTTAAAGCAAGTGCAAGAGAAAGGATAGGTGGAATCTGAATCTTTTTAGTGCTGGTCTCTCTTACAGACCCAGAGCATATATTTATTAAAACATTCACTCCCATTCCCATCTTATCCCGAAATTAAGAGATTGCAGGGTTCCTTTATAGAATTAGTTTGATTTACACAACTTCTTTAAGTGGACTATGTATTATAGTCCAGGCAAAATAAGGTTTCACTTGGAACAAATTGCAACAGAATTTATTTCCCCACAATGCATTTCTATAAGGTCCCGAAAACAACATACTAAAAGTCCCAAGCAATCCTAGTTTGGGAAATATGTCTAATTTGCATAATCCAATATGGCCACCAATTATCAATATATCTTCCATATTTCAGATGAGGTTCAATGTTTTGATGAAAAAAAGTGTTGTTTTGCGAAATAGCCATATTATGTTTCTAAAAAGATAATATTCACAACTACTGAACGTTTTCGACTATTGACAAATCTGCCAAAGTTCAAGATGGCTGGCAAGTTTCCTAAATGTGTGTTTACACTGTTGAATCTTTACACTCTAAAACCGTGCGCATAGGACTTATATGCATATAACTTGGCACACAAACTCACTGAAGTATAGTTAACACTTTAAGATAGAACCTCCGTCACCAGAGCCCCCTGGGTAGCCAACTCAGGCACAGTATACTGACTCGGAGCCGACCAGTCCTTGTTTTATCCCCTCAATAGCGAGCGCCAGGCAGGGTAACAAAAAATACCACCTTGAACTTATTTTTGGTATGACGCGACCGGGGGATCGAACCAAAGACATCACGCTCTCTAGGTCAGACGTTCTACCCACAATACCACGGAGGCGGTTTCAACGTCGACCTAGACAAGTATGAACGCACTGTATATAAGCATAGGGTCTCTTGAATTGCAACTGTTCGGACTTTATACGAGTTACATGAACTCTCTGTAAGTGAGTGAGATGGGTTCAACCTAAGACAGAGAGCATTTGAGGATAAACTACAGTCAAGTCTCGTTAATCCGACACTCGTTAATCCGACAATCGGCTTTATCCGACACTAATGATGGGAACCGATTAAATCAGTGCTATTTAGTCCCGTTAATCCGACAATCTCGCACTCCGACTCCGACACACCTAATTTGCAACAAATTACCGAAATCACTCATTAATCAGTCTCGTTAATCCGACACAGTGATCAGCGTACTCCGTGGTCACCTGCCCGCGAGTACACAGCCCGTGTTTTGATGCGAGACGAATCGGCTGGTATCTGGATATTACAACGGCTGCAGAGATAAACTTGCTTAACAATCAACAATTACTGCTTTAAATAAAGAAAACAGGATAATTCACATGCTTAGATTACCTCAATCTTATTATAATCAGATACAAGTTCTCGCTTTCGACGAGGACATCCCATTACAAGTCACGTCAGAACAACCTTTCGCGAACTATGACCTACCAATGAAGTGACCAACAGGAAGTCGACGTTAGCCACTTAGAAAGCAGCTTTCTTAAGCTTGGGTACCAGTTTCAAAGTTGCGACTTCCATTCCAGACTATGTTTAAAGTATTTTGAATCGGTCATACTGTCCGTAACAGTTGTTTTGTGTTAAACTTTAGAGGTTGCATGATTAGAAAACATATTCCGCCAACAATGTAACATAACAATATGAATATTCATTTTATAATTTTTATTACGTGTTTGAATCCTTATCTATCGTGTAGTTGTCCAATTTTCGATCACGAACGTTGATACTACTAAATTTCGTTTATCCGACATACTCGTTAATCCGACATAATCATATGCAACCATCGATGTCGGATTAACGGGACTTGACTGTACATGGACACAGAGAAGAATTTAGCAGTACATCAAGCGAGTGGAGTAAGCTGACAGCCGAGAGATTTCCCTGGCGTCATGGAGGAAATAAGATGATGTATTTCAATACTGAGACAGTCTGGAACAATTCTGCGTTACAGTATGACAAAACCTACTACGCCAAGGAGTTGCTGAAGCAGAGGCTTTGGAGAATCGAACTAGGAAATAAACGCATAAGGGATTGGCCATTTATATGGGGGTGGGTGGGGAGGTTTTGGAAGAAGGACTGTTTCATATTTCTCCGCCGACGCCCCCACCCCCATTTTGTGGAATGTTTTCACACACGCACACACGCACACTCAAATACATGTACGCTTTATATAGCCAGTCCCTAAATAATGTCCAAATTTATATTTGATTTAATTTGTAAAGAATATAGCTGTCATTTTTTCAGGCCCTTCCATATAGTTGTGACAAACAACTCCCACTCGTCGTTTATTTCTTATATGAGATATCAACATTATTTACAGCCTGTTTAAGGATGATGATAAAATGTGCAAGCTTTAAAAATATATACCCGTATATAAATTTCTGTCCAGTTTATGCACAGGTGTATATTTCCCGCATATTCTAACAATCCTCACGTCGATCACCTGTACCCTTTTCTCCAAATTCCGATTATGGTATCTCTCCGGCTTTTGGATGCGATTGTTCGGCCATAGCGTTTATCTACGTTGCCCAGCTACATCTATGGGCAATAACTCACCAGACACTCCCCTCTCAAAAATAACATCATTATGTTGTGAGCGCATGTTCGAATCTCCAGAAATGAGGTCATGATAAAACAATGTTTTATCGTGAAATAAATATAAATTGTCAATGCAAGCCTAGATTTTCTGCCGAAACTGATTCCATCTGGCGTAAAGGGCAAACTAGGTGTGAAAATTATATGTGTGAGATAACAGGCAACCCATAGCACTCAGATCATAACCCACTCTTGTCTTTGCCAGATTTCTGAAAATAAAATCATTAACATCAGATAAGTTCGCTTCTAACAAATATACCTCCAAACACATAACTGGACAACCTTTTGTGCAAGTTGTACAAATTACCACGTATGTATTGGATTTGAATTATTTTAATCAGAACTGCAAATTCTTGTGAACCAAGTGACAGAGTCTGACCACACAATACCTTACTTGTTTGTTGTTTAACGCCACACTCGGCAATATTCCTGCTATATGACGGCGGTCTGTAAATAGCGTTAAACCAAAAAAAACCAAAAAAAAACAACAAACCTTACCGCGGAAAGATGTGACCAAAGAAGCAAGGGATTGATATTATAAGCAGCGATCCATGCTATCGGGATACGATGACACGCTATCAGCCCAACCACAAGATCCACCATGTCGCCTCATACTACAAGCATGAATTGCTTGGACCATTTCTAACGGTGAATTTTGGTCACAGAGGGAGACCACCTAAAAATAAAGTCTTACGACCAGCAAAGGCTGTTGGGGACCAGTTTTTAACAGGAAAATCACCATTGTGTGAACACATGAGGTACTGGGGAAGACTACTAGTGAGTGAGTGAGTTGGGTTTAACGCTGCTTTTAACAGTTTTCCAGTCATATCACCAATCTGGGAGGAGTGATGCAGGTCTTAGACGTTTACCAATTTGGTGAAACCCACAAACACAGGTATGGTGCTGACAAACCTAGATACATAATCGGGGCAAACCGGGATTCGAACCCACAATCAAAGGTTTCTGGCGTGCCCAAGGGACGCAACTCTGAACAGCGAATCGCGGCGCTGAAAGAATACTAAACCAGAATCACTATTAGGTGGAGTTACTTGGGAAGAATTCTGACCCAGAATACCCACAGTGGACTAACATGAGTTACTGGGGAAGAATTCTGACCCAGAATCCCCATTGGATGGACAATTATGAGGTAGTGGAGAAGAATTCTGACCCGGAATCCCCACTGGGTGGACAAACCTGGCCCATGTATGATAAGTACTTGTCCTGATATAAAGGATAGGTGGGGTAGCCTTGTGGTTCAAGGTGTCTATCTGTCACACTGAAGAAGTGGGTTCATTTCAATTCCCGCAAGTCCATTGAAACTTGTCTAAAACCGTCAAAGTAGTATTTTGGTTTTTTTGCTAGCATTGCTAGTATTATATAAGGTGATAAAACATTTCGAAAATGCAACAATTCTTTTATTCAAGCATTTGTCAAATTTGCATTTTCTTACAATACATGTACATTTGTAGAAGCTTCATTGTACATAACATAGCACACAACAAGGTAGTGATGGACAATGTACATTTGTAAAGGTGTCCACTCATCTTTATTTGGTATTCGTTGATATCTGTAAACATATAATTGTATAACATTTGCATAAATCCAATATTTTCAAAATTAAGGGGGAATCACCCACAACAGGGTTGGAAGTCCACTTTCATTTGCCTGATACTTCACATCTCATAAAGCGTATTAATTTTACAGTTAAAGATAACTCTAATTCAGCAGTCAATGCGTCTATTTCATGCAGGGCACCAGATCGATTCTTTCATTCATATTACAGTAAACCACGGTTATTATGAACTCAAAGGGACCATTAATTTTAGTTCGTTATAACCGTAGTTCGTTATAAGCATATTTACATCATATATAGCAAATGTCCGGAACCAAAAAATAAGCATGTTCGTTATAAACATAGCTTACAGTACGATAGTTAATTCATGCCATAACAGACTAACTACGGCAATTAATGGTAATATGAAAGAATTACTTGGTCCTTAACTTGTTTTGAGTTGTAAATTATGATAAATATCCTGGAACCATTTGCTATTAGGCTTTGTTCAATCAAATTATTTCATGAGCGAGACAAATTACATTTAGTAAGTGATTGTCATCTATGGCTATGTACCTAGTTTTAGCCAATGATCATGATAGGAAAGCACCTTTAAAGAGTGCAACACTGCATGGTCTGGTGCAAATGTTAAATTCAAGCTGCGATGTTATTAGATGTGTGAAATGAGCGTAATCATGAACCCATTGATTATTCTACATCATTAACATGCACATGGAGTAGGCAGACAAAGGATTTTTTTACAACTGAAATCAAATTTGGCCTGTCAATTGGTGCCCATTTGACACAAAATCAAAATAATGAATGACATCATTACAGAACTGGGATAGAATTTTTATTTATAAAACAAAGTCTGATCTTGCACCTTAAGTGCATATAGCAATAACTGATAGTAATTCTCAGGCTCAAAATCTGAGATCAACACAACACATGCATACTCATAATAGGCCTGTAAAAAAAATTAAATTCCATGACTTTAAGGGAGCTTGGATTTTTTATATACAGATACAGATAACTTCTGAACAACAAACTAAAATTAGTGGTCCCTTTGAATTTGTCATAACCGTAGTTTACTCTATTGTATTTCCTCAGTAGGTTACGATCTATCAAAGCAAACTTGATTGTTATGTAGCACATGACTTTAGGATTTGGCCACACCCTCTGCAGATGGAAGTATGAATGAAGGGGTTCCACTGCCAATCTGACACAAGGACTGAGTTGGTGTGTGCGAAAGGATGAAACATGATGCAAAATTTAAATTTGAGTTCACAAAGTTTTTCATAACATAATAATTTCATTTGCAGGCAGGTCAAGAGAAACAGGAAATTCAGTTTGACAAGCCTCACTTGTTCCTACTTCTATAATCAACAAATATTCAATAATCTGAGTGACTTAAAGATCAGTACAAAAGTGCAAAACATCACTGTGGTAAAAGTACATTTTGCAGCATCCAATGTTTTACACTGTGGAAAAGTTGATTCCACAATTCAATACATACAAAATACTGATTTTTTATTTAAACAAACCAACAACATTTACATAATAGTTTATCACACCAAGAATTACATATCACCTAATATGATGGAAACAATTCATGAGTTAATGAATAGAGTGAGTGAATTGGGTTTAACGCCTCTTTTAATAGTAATCCAGTAATGTCGTGTCAGCTTAATGTGGGAGGAAAGCCCAAAGTGATGTAGGTCTTAGACGTTTACCACTTCAGTGAAACCAACAAGCATGGGTATGGTGCTGACAAACCTAGAAACGTAATCTGGATGAACCAGGATTCAAACCCACAATCACAGGTTTCTGGCCTGCCCAAGGGACACAACTCTGCACAGCGAATCACGGCGCCTTAGACGACTTGCCACCCATGGCCCTGTTAATAAATTGATACATATGTAATAAAGACAATGATTCAAATGAACATGTGTATATCGCCTACTGCCACAGTAGCATCATGACATTAGATTCATAGAGATGAATCGTATCGTGAGGAAGTTGTTGTTGTTGTTTGTTGTTTAACGCCGCACTCAGCAATATTCTAGCTATATGACGGCGGTCTGTAAATAATCGAGTCTGGACCAGACAATCCAGTGATTGACATCATGAGTATTGATCCACACAATTGGGATACCGTAAGGAAGTACTACCATATCATTACAGTCCTATTAATAGCACACAGCTCTGCCATATCCTGTTATTTATTATTTCATCATCTATTTAACTTAAGATGAGCGAAAAATTGCTCATCATCCAGTATTAATCAGTCATCTTCATCAATATCCTCCATTGGTTCATAAGTGTATAGTTTTAGGATTTCTTGATGGGTCAAGGGAACTTCGGAATCAGACAATGTATCGGATGCCATGTTGTCTCACCCTAAACTGGTACTTCTTATCTATTGTGTTGAGACTAGACAGGGACCCAGTTTATTCAGCACCAAATACTTCAAAATCTAAGGGGGATAAGTCAAGCATGTTTAGCCTCATAACAACATAACATTTTCACACTTATTGTGAGCTTACTATTTTCACTGTGAGAAAAATGAGGATATATTTTCAAACATTGATATTAACTAATTCTAAAATTGCGTTTTGTTTCAAATAAGACAGAAAGTGATTTTTGTGTGTAAACTTCCCCTTTAGGAGATAAAACTTTAAACTGTGTCGGAGTTGGGTATCTAAGTTAAACTTTGGCATGGTATCTCAGAGAGCTAGCATATACCATGCACATGTACACACATACGTACAAGTAAGCACACACATACACATGCACATGCATGCAAGCACGTCGCTATACAAGTGCAATAATATTGATCAAGATGTTGAACCTCATTTCACGCCACCTCACACACTTGTATTATGTGCTTCTTGGTGGCCCCCATCTTCAGACAAAACGTATCGATGCTAATCAGGGCAAATCTAGGAATGAAGCCAAGTAATAGCAGATTCTGGGATGGAAAAGGGATGCAACTCTGCACAGTCAGCTGCAACACTCGACAGCACAGTTGAAATATATCCCTACACACTCTCTTAAACAGAATTGTGAGACTCAACATTTTTCAAAATGCAAAAACATAAAAAATCGAAGATTTAAAGCATACATTTCAACAAAAGTTAATGTGCAACATAAAACACCAACACACCAAACAATTTTTTACAACTGGCATGATCTTGTATTGTGATGCTGTTAGTTTCAGGATGAAAACAAGATAATTAGAGACGGTTTTTAGTGACCCAAACTATAAAATCTCGGCAAAGTTCATTTTTTGGATTGAAAACTTTCAGACCTGTTACAACCCAACCCCAAACTTAAGGAATCAAGATTTTAACCGACATCCAACTTTGGAACTACACTCATACATAAATGATTTTCAAGAATTCGTTACACTGTTAAATTTTTCGGAATCGTCTGTTTTCCTTCATCTCAGACTCTTCCTCCCCAAAGCAGACACAGCCTGTCATCACTCGGACACAATCTGTCATCACTCGGACACAACCAGCGTCAACAATGAACACAACTACAGGGAACTTCACAACTAAATCATAACACTCATTGGTAAATGTTCATGCATGTTAAAACAGTACATGGAAAGGTTATGTAGCTCCAATGCAAAAATAACATTAGGAACTTTGTCTCATTTTGAGCCATTAATATAGTACAAGAGATTATTTTGACAACAAACACAAACACAATTATTGACACAGCTCATAGTGGAATGTCGTGCCACACTGAGCAAAACTTTTACATCATTAATGAGGCCTGCTTGTAAAACTTGATGTGTGTTGGAAAGTTCAACAGGAGCTGACCCCTTCACTGTTGTTTCCTCAGTGGTCTGGAAATCATTACACACTTTTTACAAAGACTTTTCAATTTCAGACGATGACATGCAAGAAGATTTCTAGTTGTCAACATGGATGCTAGCACTTACAAACTACATGTCAGACCACCCCAGGTGGTTGATTCTGTACAGTTACCTTGACCTTCAAAGAAGGTCACACAACAAATGCCTGACCCTGAAGATCACTTGGAATATGTTTGTATTGCCTATGGTTAACACTTCTTGAGTTGTGATAAAGATAATATGCCTAATATGATTAATATATGAGCAAATATGTTTATCTTGCATTGTTTTTTCTACAATGATTGGTTGCTTGTTTAACACACGTCACCATTTTGTGTTTACATGGTGCGACACCAAATTAGTGCCCGTAAAATAAAATAAATTTCTGAAGTAATAAAATAAAAGACAATGGTGAGTAATTTAATCGCCAATTAACTATGTGTAACTATGGTGTAACTTTAATTTAGAAATACAATATCGTATCAAAGAACATAGTATCAGAGCATGATTGCACAACCTTGGGGGCTTAACCTGCACAATGAGGTCGCAATTAATTGGAGACTTATTTCATGACCTTGTTTACAGAATAAACACCAGAATTGTGAAGAATAAACAGTCAGTATTAGAGACTGACAGTTAAGTTGGAGCAAAGTACACGCAATTTATGGATAACAACTTCTTCAATCCTGTAAATGCGATGTTTCAGTATAGATCCTTATACCGTTGTCAAGCAAAGCTGGTGTTGCTTCCCACGTCTCCATTCAGACGACGGATGAATTGTTTGATACTTTGTCTACTTTGTCATCTGTCAACTTCTAAGTAATGCCTATCAAACAATTCATCCGTTGTCTACATGGAGACGTGGCAATCAACACCCAGTCTTGCTTGACAATGGTATAAGGATCTATACTGAAACATTGCCTTTACAGTAATAAAGAAGTTGTTATCCATATATTGTGTCTACTTTGTCATCCGTCAACTTCTAAGTAATGCCTATCAAACAATTCAAGTTGGAGCAGTTGATAAGAAGCACATTCGTAATTCCTGTACCATGGTACTATCCCCGTGGAAGTGTGTTTGGTGTACACGCTGGTGCCATCAGGTGGAGATCAGGCCGGGGTCCGCGGCGTGGCATACATCATGATGCCAGTCTCTGTCCTCAGTACAGCCATGCTCTTCATCTTGACCACATGATCTTCATCAAGGCGTAGTGTGAACCTTGGAGTAAACATGATTTTGTCAATAATGGGCACAATTACACACAGAGGATGGTGCTTAAATGAACTCAATAATTATCATAATTAACTGAGAAATTCAGTTTGATTTACTGAATTAATAAATCATTAAGCCACAAGGTGCAGCAGTCAAAATTCTGAATCCGCCACTGTTTAAAACTTGTTCACAATTATGCGGACAGAGACATCATAGCTGGGATCATCTAAACAAAGCTTCTGCTCCTTATTTTGCCTTGTGGTTTCAGGTAAACACAGCTGGATGGATGGCTGATTCTCATACTACACACGTTCCTGCAGGCTAATCCCTTCACCCAGTTTGAAGAAAGAGTCAAAAGTTTAGAGACAACAGACAGACCGATGACTGACAACTGACATTATCATACCTCCATGTCAGAATGATGAGATCTGATTGGTCCACATGATCTTGATAAAATACTATGTGTCTCAGTAGGAGAATAAATACCTCATACCCCACCACTAGCAAGACAGGCTGCAAGAGGATTTCGAAGAGGCAGAATAAATCCCTTATACCCCGCTTTGAAGCAAAACGCTGCACACTTTTTCTGAGCCAATGAAAGTCACGTGACAAAGCACAACTCAATCGAACAGCTGTTTTTTATTAATTTTGAACTTGTTTCGTATTCTTTTACAATGTCATATTAAAACATGTCGGTAAGATCAATTTGTTGTAGCAGGATCACTTGGTTTACATGGGCTTTTATGTGTCCCTCGTTAAAACCTAACACAGGATGCATAAAACCCCATGTACCCCTCGAGGTACTGCTACAATTTAATGATCTTCATATCAGAATGTTGAGATCTCATTGGTCCAAGTGATCTTCATAAAATAGGAAAAAGATTTCAGAGCGGGAGATTAAATCCCTTATACCCAACCACGAAAAAAGGCTGCACTTTGATTTCTTAGCATGAGGATAAATCCCTTATATCCCACCATGAAGAAAACAGGCTGCTCAAGGATTTCTGAGCATGAGAATAAATGCCTTATCACCCACTACCAAGCTAAGAATACAAAGCAATGAGCAGCATGTTGCTTACGAGTCAATGAAAGTCACATGACACAGCACAAGTTAACCTGAACTCAGTCGAACAGTTGTTCAAATTGTTTTAATTCTTTTACAATTGCAAATAGAATCATGCCAGCAAGAATAATTCGATATAGCAGGATCTCCTCCTCTTGTGGTATAAAACCATTTGCAGGGTGCCAAAAAACCACATATACCCCAAATGATACCACTTTAACTTATACTGTACCATGTAAGACAGCACTAAAGACAACGTACCTGTGAAGTATTCTTGCAAGGACGACCTTCATTTCATGCATAGCAAAGTTTTGTCCGATGCAGTTCCTGAAATAATAATGAAAATACTGGTTTTATCAGCAATATCATCTGTAGGTTGAAATGGTAATGATGGCTAACCTTCTAGCACCTTACATGCAGCTTGGGTTGTATTCTCCCCAAGGAGCTGAGAATAAAACATTGACAACATATTTTTATATATTTTTTTAATTATTATTATTGTTATTGTTGTTGTTATTTTTATCTGGTCTTTCTTTTATGTGTATTATACTGTTCATGAAGCACAAGTGAGGTCTCTTTTAGGGAATCTGCAACTCTTAAAGCACGTTGTTAAAAAAATAACACCTGGGGTCTGTTGCAAAGCCCCAATCGCTTGCAAGCGATGTACAACAATTCGCCTTACAACAGGGCACTAACTTTCAGCTGCTTGCAATCATACCAATCGCTGACTGAGGTCGCTTACTTCTCATAAGAAAATGGCGGCTTAGTATGACAGCAGGACAGGAAAATTCTTGACTGGATCAACTGGGAAATGAGCAAAGGCAGCTAAGGCCCCATCATCCTCAGTCTGCTCCACGTCTTTAAAGTAGTCATAAATTTCATCAGCTCCTCATCGAGCCTCTTCTATTATGTTCTTCATTAGGGCAAGGCAACCAAGCGGTAGTTGTGTCGCCATATTGGAAAAGTGAGCAAGCGCTTCGAGCTGTTGCAGACCCAGAGATGAGCGATTAATTTGCTTTGTTTTTATTGTGAACATGAGCAAATCTTTGACTTAAGCTGATTTCCTAGCAAATGTTGATAAAAATAGAACAATCTTATTGTGAATAATTCATCTTAGGCCAGGTACTGGGTCAGAGATAGATTTTCAATTGAATTCTGAAACATCTGCTGTATCATTCTATTGATCATGCCACAAATTCAGAAGTGGCAAGTGAAAGGAAGGAAAGAGTTAGCTGCTAGACATTTCAAAACGTCAGACAATTTTCATACAAATATGTATAATATATGTTTCTGACATAACTCATAAACTTGATGCCCAAAACACCTCTTGTCCTACATTGGCAATTAACATTGGCAATATTTCAGTATTCACAAAGCTCTCAGACAGATCACCTCCTAAAGAATCATTTCATAAAACTAACTCTTTTTTCTTGAAACTACAGTAAACTATGGTTATAACGAACTCAAAGGGACCACTAATTTTAGTTTGTTATATCCGTCGTTCGTAATAAGCATTTCTGTCATCAGACATCCTTTATCAAGTCATGTGACATCATATTACTCGATAAATAACACAAGTGTGCACTGTACATGTACAGAATATATCCACTTCAATCACTGTGTTACTATTGTTAATGGGCGATCTTTTTCAATTTATCTTCCCTTCACTTACCCGCTAGGTGCGCTGACCCGGACGGTCCAACCTTAAACTGATGGCGCATGTGGTATGCGCAAAACGAGCACTACATGTTACTATGACGCCTATAGACAGTTAACTAGTATAACCTTCACCTCTGTCGGCAACAGTCACGCTTGTGTGTGGGCAGCATATCTTTTCGCCTAAACAATGATTTATCTATTGCCATGTAATAAATAAATTTTCCTTGATTTAATGATACATAAGGGATGACCACGACTGATTGTATTGTATAGTTATCCACTAGATAGGCGTTCAAAGCATTGCATTGCACTATGACTCTTATTATTTTATTTAATATCATGGCACACTTGTGCATGTGTACTAATATTTGATTACACATGCATGACTTTTTAGCTGTCATCTGTTTCGGAACTGAATATTATGCTAATAAAGATAAGTAACATTAAAAATTAAGGGACTCTGGTATTCTTTCAGGTTTGGAGAATCAATCAATTCATTGTGAAAACATTTTTAATTTCTTACATAAGTTACTTTGATCTTGATAAGATCAAAATAGATCCAAATTAAATTGAGGAGGATTAAATTATGGAGTCTTATTCATTACAGCCAGTCTGTTTAAAATCAGGTCCTATTTTTCAGGCAATAATAAGTGAATGAAAATTTAAGAAAAAATATGCCTTACCTGAGTGAATCAGTCAATATACATATTGGGCCTGATTATAGACACTGACTGTAACATATGTAAGAATAATCTGTTATATGCAAAAACAAATAACATAAATAAATCCATTTATCTACATGGAATGACTGTGGGGTTCAATTTGCATTTATTCAACCATCAGAAGATTTGATGATAAACTTTCATATTCATATTTTCATATAAATATACTTTATACTACAGGTGTCTTGAAGTACTGTTGAATGAAAATCAGGATACTTAGGATAGTGTGTGGGTTTGTATGGAAAATAATTTGTCAACATTAAAATAAATATGATGTTACTAAAACAAGAAGATAAAACTATGATTTAGATCTATTTATGCATCATACACATTTTGTGGGGTAGTCAGTATGATTTGTTGTTTGTTGGGACAAATCTCTGTAATTAACTACCATTTTAAGAGCATGAGTATCAGAATTCTGTAAGAAATGATGGATCAATGAATTAACACATGTGATGACTCAGAGCACTTAATGGTGGGACACATGTTATAAGGGGCAGAATAATATGGGTAAATCTCTTATTTCAAAGAATGATGACTGGTATGTATATTGCAAATGAGTAACTGAGTGCTTAATAGATGCATGGTAGATGTTCATTTGGCCTATTTCTAAAAAAAATAATGTAAATTTAAATATTCAGATGCAACTTTAATTTTGATATAAAAAGATACATTTAAAATCAGTTGTTTTATTATTGTGAACGTTATTTCTTCTTAAAATATTTGTAAAGTCACGGATGTATACTTACTATATAGATCATTGGTAAAGGCCTGTCAAAGATGTCTGTGTGCTGCAAATGTTGGCGTATCACTAATGTTATTTAATTGAAGTCCATGGTAGTATTTGTTGAGATTTGAATGCTTGAATTGTTGTGGGAAATAACACAAAGGCTGATAAATAAAATGAGTTCGCATTATTTCATGGATGCAATATGTTAGCCCAGACCGACTAATGCCTCGCTCTTTTCTGACCGTAGAAAATACCGTGGCAATATACCATTTTTCATGACGTTTTTCCCGCTATATTCCAAAGTGACAATTCGTCTTGTTGTTGAAGACTCAACAAATGTTCATATTATAAACTAATAATCACTACAAAATATGTGCTAGTTAAAAATATTCAGTTGTAAACGACTGTTTTTGAACGCAGGGGCAACAGGATAACTCTTTAGCTTTGCTCCGTCTCTACATGTCAGTAGTTGTCGCAGCGCGCATTGATCCGGGAACCAGACCGGAAGCGACAGTTTGGACCGTTGCTTATATCATATCAAAAGGAGAGTTATTGCCCTTTGGAACAAAAAGATCGCCCATTGAAGGTGTAATTTGAGGGCAAGGTGTCAGTACATCAGAGTAAATCAATTGCCTCCAATTGTTTATTGACGCTTTGAACAGCAGCGCTTGGCTGCGGATACTTTAATAGGCAGATGACACATGAGGAGCTCAGCTCAGGAGTTAACAGTTTGTTATACACTTGAACATGATCGTTGACAGAGTACACACTGGACCACAACGTGAGTTCTCTATATCCGTTTTTTCGTTATGAGCGTGTTCGTTATATCCATCAACTTTATATGATAAAATATATGAAAAATGGCCGGGACCAAAAGAACAGTTTGTTATATTTGTCAATTCGCATGTTCCCTATAAATGTAGTTTAATGTATATCAATATTTACAAGTAAACAGCTAGGTTGTTAATTGTAAATAGCCTTTACATACAAAAGGATAAGTATATAAGTTTTACCCATATTAAATTTATGCAAAAAAAAGGCTGTATGACCAGGCCAAATTAATTCATGACTATCATGAATTTGAAAAAAACACATTCATTCTGATTGGTCGGAGGTTTCAAATCATAAAAACCACCTCTGACTGCAACATCTGATTTGAGTGATGTGGAAGGTATTATTTATACAAAATAATTTCTTTCTCAATCTTTTATTTCCATAATCAATTTAGCCGTGTGAAATCTATAGAAAAAATCTCAACAGAGAAAACACAGTAGGTTAATCTCCAAAATAAATACCTTGGTCCAGCTGAGAATGGAACGTATGCGAAGGGGTCCTGTGCCTTCACCTCCTCAGCAAGAAATCTCTCAGGATAGTAGTCCAGGGGGCGCTCCCACACGTGGGGGTTGTGGCACAGATTGTATAGCTGCACAGCCACAAAAGTGCCTTTGGGGACGTGATATCCTGAAGAAAGTGAATCAGTAAACAACACATTAGCTCTACTACCATTTATTGGTTTTTGAGTCGTGGTAGAACGGTGATAAGCCAACTGTGGTTTCAAGGTTAGGTCTAAATTCTTTTTACAGATATTCAATCTACTTCTGAAATGTCTAAATTGAAAACACAGTTTGTTAATCTCCTTATTGTTTCAACTTCATGTGTATTTGAGTGAGTGGGTATGGTTTTACGCCGCTTTTAGCAATATTCCAGCAATATCACAGCGGGAAGACACCCAGAAATGGGCTTCACACATTGTACCCATGTGTGGAATCGAACTGGGTCTTCGGCAAGACGAGAGAACACTTAAACCACTAGGCTACCCCACCGCCCCTATGTGTATTTGAATATGGTTTAATATGAAAATATGCATATTAGGCCAAAATATATAAATATCCGTGTGTGCCTCAATACCAATCACTCACATCTGTGAAGATATGGATAGGGTATCTGACAGGAGTGGAGGGTCGGTGGTTCGATCCACTGGCCATTTCTTACCAAAAGGTGTGAAAAGATGGTACTTGTTGTTACCCTGCCTGTTGCTTGTCACAAGGGGATAAAATAAGGACTGGTTGGCTCGTTTTCATTAGAAGGGGCACAACTTATTATCTAAGCGAGGTGGCGCCACGATTGAGCCAAGAAAAGTGGCTTGATGTGGCAAGGGAAGAAACGAGGCTTTGATATAGGCTAGTGGACACACTTGTCTCGGGAAACTGGCAGATCCCTCAAAACCTGGTGAATTTCTAATTATCTTCTATGAATGCTTTTATAGCTTTGTTAGTTGTATTGCCTACTGGTGTGCTATTTAAGAAAATGAAACATAATTTTGAAATCTCTAAAGAACAAAGACTCTGTAACAGCCTGACACATATTTACAAAGTTTCATGGAGTACATAACAGACAAGTCTAAATTTATAAAATTTGTATAAAAACAAAATAATTGGGTGGATCATAAACAGCAAAAGGCATATCTACACTATATGGTGAATGTGTTTACCACGTTCTTAAAGACATGTCTAAAGGGATTTCAAATTCTGCTCCAACTTTCAAAATCTTATATAAAATGTATTAAAAATGCAGGGGAAAGCTAATTAGCAAAAGGCACATATATAACAAAGGTTGAAAGTGTGTACCAGGTTTTGTAAAGTTATCTTTTATGGTTTCTGAGTTCTGCTTGGAAAAAGAAAAACGGGGTGGGGAATAATAAGAACATACCATCAAGGACAATGTCCTTCGTCAGTTCACGCTCTATGAAAGGGACTGGTGTTCTATTCCTCATCGACTCCTTCAAACACAGAGAAAAGTATTCCAGTTTGGGAAGATCTTCCCTGAAAGAGTGGAGACACTTATCAGTCATGGCGCAGACAGCAACAAACTAGAAAAATACAGCCACAGAATCTTTTCAGGAATACTAGTATCATATCAGACCAGACCCACATAAGGGTGAACCTGAATAGGCAAAAATAGAATGTTAAAACAGAAGTTGCATTGAATTTCAAAACATATTCCATGTTATCATCATTTTGCCTGATCATACAGAAATTGTTGATAAATGATCAAAGTGACATTTTCAATATAGTTGTCATGGTGACCATGTTTAAAATCTGATCAGAATTGTGCAAGCAGCTTTTAGCGACACCATTGCTTGGATCATAATCACAACATTTCAACGACATTAATCCCAAGGCTTCAGGTGTGGACACTGGATAAACTGGGGGTATGTGAAGGTCAAGGTCATAGCAGGGTAAAAATTTGTTTGTTGTTTAACGCTGCACTCAGCAATATTCCAGCTATATGACGGCGGTCTGTAAATAATAGAGTCTGGACCAGACAATCCAGTGATTGACATCATGAGCATCGATCCACACAATTGGGACAAGATGACATGAATCAACCAAGTCAGCGAGCCTGACCACCCGATCCCATTAGTTACTTCTTACGAAAAGCATAGTCGCCTTTTACGGCAAGCATGGGTTGCTGAAGACCTATTCTACCCCCGATCTTCATGGGACAGCAGGGTAAAAGGAAATAGTCCAAAATTTGTATCATATGTCATTCCTCATGTCATATATTTACTGCATAGGAATTTCCAGAATCATAAAGCAGAAATCGCCAACTTAACATTTTCAAATGGCTGCAAGGGATCATGATCACCCAAGCAAAGTTTCAGGTTCTGGCATTTCAGCCTCAAAAGCAAAAATGTTTAGAATGCAAGGACAACATGTCACAACTTAGTGAGTGAGTGAGTTGGGTTTGACGCCGCTTTTAACATTATTCCAGTTATATCACTGCGTGTCAGCTTAATGTGGGAGGAAAGCCCAAAGTGATGCAGATCTCAGATGTTTACCACTTTGGTGAAACCCACGAGCACGGGTATGGTGCTGACAAACCAAGAAACATAATCGGGGCGAACCAGGATTCGAACACACAATCATAAGTCTCTGGTGTGCCCAAGGGAGGCAACTCTGCACAGCGAATTGCTGAACTAGGTTGGAATTATGGTGTCTTGACAAGTCTATGCATTGTACAATCAAAATTGCATAACGAAATTGACATCCAGTTTGTAAAACTGCTGTGCAGATTTCGGTCGATTGAAAGATTTGCATACCATGTGTACCGTCAACTGGATTTCGACAGATATTTTCCAAATTCTTTTCATGTTTTTAATCAAGAAGCTCGCGTGATGTGATGCACTTTGTGAGGTAAGACCCGTTTTATTACAATATAGATCTTGACTACCGATCAGACTGGACGCCCCCATTTTGTTTGAAGCAAATGAAAGTGATATGAGAGGCAGAATCTGATTGGTCAATAGGAGGGACAGGAGAGACATAACAGCCACTGGTGGCACTACGATCAAGCCCAGAAATTCCAGCCTAGTTCGGCAAGGGTGGAAACTGGCCTTTTACAGTCAGTTAACTCCCTTGCTTCAGGAAGATGTCCTGTACCCCTAAAAGAAACTTGTGGACATTGACCTTAACCTTGATCACATATCTCACTGGGGGCACTTGGGGCATGAATGGTCAGATTTGCTGTGATGTGTTCTGTCCCAGAATCCACTGATTATGATCACCAAATAATCGTCTCTTTCATTAAAAGAGGAAGACATCAACCCTTTAGAAAGAAAAATATAAATATTTCAAAATTTACTGAATAACTTAATACTATTTATATCACCACCTAGCCACATTTACTCTCTGGCTAACTCACTTACCAAAGGATGTTGTCCGATTCCCTCCCCTTCAAAATGGCGTCTATCTCTTCCTGGACTCGAGTCTGGTACTCTGGGTGTTTAGCCATGTGGTACAACATCCAGGACATACCACTCGTTGTTGTGTCGTGACCTGCAGGTTGGGAAATATGCATCATGCCTAATTTGAGTGAGTGAGTGAGCGAGTGAGCGAGTGAGCGAGCGAATGAGTGAGTGAGTGAGGTGAGGTGAGGTGAGGTGAGGTGAGGTGAGGTGAGGTGAGTGAGGTGAAATTGGGTTTAACGTTGCGTCCAAGATTATTGCACTTATATAGCGACTTGCATGTACGAGTATGTGTTTGTGTAGCTGCTTGTACTAGTCCGGACTGATGCCGATTTATAGTGCTAGCTCACTGAGATACCATGCCACAGTTTAACATGAATACCCCACTCAGACACAGTATACTGACTCCGAGCCGACCAGTCCTTGTTTTAGCCCCTTAATGCTGAGCGCCAGACAGGGTAACAACAAGTACCATCTTTTAACGTCTTTTGGTGTGACGCGGCCGGGGATCGAACCCCGGACCTTCCGCTCTCTGGGTGGACGCTCTACCACAGGACCACGGAGGCGGTCGAGTGAGTGAGTGAGTGAGTGAGTGAGTGAGTGAGTGACGCCCAATTTCAACCACTGTGAAGGTAATGATTTCTTATCATATGTTATTCTTAAAATGTTTAGACATAATTGTCCACTGAGGCAACTTTAGAAACTGCATATGAATAAAATCACAGCAGTATAGACTAGGTTCTCCATATGGGCATCTTGATACAGGACGATCATTGGATCGTCATCACATAACTGGTAAAACTTTAGACCTTCATGGTAGCATTTTCAGGAGCTGGACCTGGTCCAGGTTGGGTGCCTGAGTACCCCCATTGTCTATTTATCATGTTTAGGTGTCAAGTGATTAAAAGACATCTAATTTTAGGCAACAGGTTTTCAAACAAGTAGGCAACACATCAATGTATGGATATGATTTGTTTGTTTGTTTGTTGTTTTATGCCGCTCTCAGCAATATTCCAGCTATATGACGGCGGTCTGTTAATAATCAAGTATGGACCTGACAATCCAGTGATGGACATCATGAGTATCGATCCACACAATTGGGATACGATGACATGCATCAACCAAGTCAGTGAGCCTGACCACCTGATCCCATTAGTCGCCTCTAACGGCAAGCATAGTCGCCTTTAATGGCAAGCATGGGTTGCTGAAGTTCTATTCTACCCTGAATCTTCACAGGTGGTATTGATATGACAAAAAGTAGTTCCAACTAGGTGACCTCATTTGAATATTTATAGACGTGATGTCACAATTGGTTTATTGCATCAACTATATCTATTATATAGTGAATGTACATATACGCTCCATCATATGACTTTCATCATAATTGCTCAGACTGCTGCTGTTCACCGACATATCAGAAAGCCTCCATGGTGCAGTGGATGGAGTGCTTGCCTGTGGCACACTATACAACAAAATCAGTACAAACAGACACTCACACAAATGCATGCACATCACTACATAAGTGAAAGAATCTTGAATAAGACATTCAACCCAATTTCAGCTGAGCTCAGCTCAGCTCACCTCAGCTCAGCTCACCTCAGCTCAGCTCACCTCAAGTATCAGTGCATTATATTTTGTGCCATCATACAATTGTAATAAACTATACCCTCAAATAGAAAAGTGTCCACTTCGTTCCTGATCTCTAGTGAGGTCAAACCATTCCCATCCTCGTCTCTGGCCGTCAGGAGAATGTCCAAGAAGTCAAGAATCTTCTTCTTTCCGTTGTCCTGAGTTGTTGGACCATTCTCATTCTGAAAATACAACATACATCATATACTTATTCTGACATGACATTTGCTTCTTATTGTCAGCACTCAAAACACAAGAGTGAAACTCTTCACACAAACGTAACGAGGACCAGGGTCACCAGTTCGGAGTTACTTGACCCTGATTGTGTACTTTCTTCATATCGTCAGAGAAACACAGAAGCCTACATTAAGCTACACTCCATGTATCACACCTATGTGCTATTATCTTGTTATATATGACAGCTATGTGATAAATCGGAAAGAACAATGAAGAACAAAGTGTGGTTTATTTCATGATAAATTGGTTGGTTTGTTGTTTAACGCTGCACTCAGCAATATTCCAGCTATATAATGACGGTCTGTAAATAATCAAGTCTGGACCAGACAATCCAGTGATTAATATCATGAGCATCGATCCATGCAGTTGGGATCAATGACATGCATCAACCAAGTCAGCGAGCCTGACCATCTGATCCCGTTAGTCGCCTCTTTTGACAACCATAGTCGCCTTTTACGGCAAGCATGGGTTGCTGAAGACCTACTCTACCCTGGATCTTCACAGGTCTATTTCATGATAAAACAGTGTTCTATCATGAAGATCGGGGTAGAATATGACTATGCTTGTCGTAAGAGGCAACCAACAGGATCGGGTGGTCAGGCTCGCTGACTTGGTTGATGCATGTCATCGATGTTAGTTTTGAGAGGGAAGTGTCTTGTGAGTTGTTCCCCATATATGTTAGCTTGCAAACGCAGATAAATGCAAAGGCTGAACGATCGCATTCAAAAGTGAGATATGACAATCGGTAGTGGGAGAAAAGGCAAAGGTAATCGACTTAAAAATTGTGAGAATATCCAGGAATTACCAAATGTAATCCCCCCATTCATAAAATGGACATGACCGACATTGCCGATGTTGCATTGTATCCAGGGAGTCATCATTATTCAAATAAAGGTAAAAGTTTTTAAAGCATTTACATTTTATTGACATCATTAAAAAGGCCGCACAAAATGTTGATATCTCATATAAGAAATAAACAACCCGTGGTCAATTATCGTACAATAGTAGTATTTAAGGCTGCGCCCCTCGTGGTTTATTCTCTCTGCAGTGTTTTCTTGTATGATAAACAACTCCCACTCGTCATTTATTTCTTAAATATGTTGCATCTGGTAGGAGACAACTCAGTTGTGTGAAGGACCTGGTTGTATCAAACTTTAATGATGCCATTAACTAATCATGCTAATGTTGCATTAGGAATTTAATGTATCATTAGGGTTTAATGTAGCAATTAGTTAATGAAGGCTTCATACAACCGGGTCCTGGCTGCTACCACAGACTCATACCTGACAGAAAACATCTCTAACAAAGAAGTAGGAACATATCTGGATGAAGCATCCACTCCTTTCATGATGATGTCTGTGGGTGAGTCACAGCTTCCACAAGGCCAGATATCTATGTTTGGGCGCTGAATCTCTGGAGTAGGAACCAGGGGTCCGGAAACCGTCATGTGCGCCGGACATTTCCAATTGGGAATCTCAAATGTCCGTTTTAAAATATTGCTTACCGGACATTTTAAAAAGTATTGTCCGGACATTCTTAAATTTTGACAGGACATGATCAACAGTTAGGAATGAGCAGTTTCTGTCTGCAGTTGCAACACAAGAAGATTAACTACACTGACAAGCTTTGTTTGTTTTGATTGCTGTAAATACATCGTACCTACATGATAGTCCAATCGGTCAATCACTGTAATAGGCAATAAACTGAGTTGACACTGATTAATCGAGGATTTATTACTGAGAACATCTTGTTAATTTGAGTGAAAGGTGTTTACAACTGTACATTATTACCTTGCATCATCGATGTACCTCATTATCCTCAAAATGCTACGATACGTAACCTCAGACAAGAAGCGAAAGCGTGACGACAGCCAGTCGACCGATGCAGATCAGTCGAGCAGATCTGCCAAACCCTCAAAGTCTGGACAATCATTCTGTAAGTCGTGGCTAACGACTTTCACTTGGTTGACATACAATGAGGATTTTTTAGATTTTATTGTTTTCAGTAGCTAGTCGTATATTGAATCTTGATTGACCGCCATTTTGCTTTCTCGGACGATCGATATCCAATTTTTTTATGGTCAATAATTAAGTACAGATGAAAAAAGTATTCAAATAACTATTGCTATCAACGATATTTTAGTATTTGTGATTAAATTATCTGTCTTGTTTTTAAAAAAATCTTTAGTTTAAAAAAAAAACTTTTCCCGTGAGGTCACGTGATAACCAAATATGGGATAATAGTCTCGATCCAAATGTTACAACGCGTACACTTGAGCAGACTCATGAATATAACTCATGAATATTAATTAGACCGTTCACTACGTTAACAGATCGTTATTATAACAGAAACAAACGTATGTTTTCCATGTAAATCTAAAATGATATTATTTGTTATTAATTGTCCGGTGAATTAAACAATTTAAATTGAAACAATTCATAATTCATCATATTATGAATACGTAAACTTGTAATGTGTGTGAAAAGTCGTACTAAAATACGCTATTTGAAGGGGGCGTGGCCTAAATGCAAATGTCCGATTGGGATTTTAAATTTTCCGGACCCCTGGTAGGAACATATCTGGATGAAGCATCCACTCCTTTCATGATGATGTCCGTGGGTGAGTCACAGCTTCCACGAGGACAGATATCTATGTGTGGGCGCTGAAACTCTGACAAAGGAGTTAGACCTTATCGGGATGGAGCATCCACTCCGTGGGCATGGGCAATGGTCAGATACAGCTTCCATGAGGCCAGATATCTATGTGAGGGCGCTGAATCTCTGACAAAGGAGTTAGACCTTATCGGGATGGAGCATCCACTCCGTGGGCATGGGCAATGGTCATATACAGCTTCCACGAGAACATTATAACCCCTTGGGTATTTGTCTCTTTTATCTTCATATGAAAGAATAAAAACAAGAAATGACTTACCACAACTTTCCTCCTGGACTCAATAATTTCCTCAGCAACTTGATGCACATAGTCACAAGCCTTGAGGAACTTGCGGCCACTCGGGCTCCGGAAATACACAAAGTCAGTGTATAACAGGGGGTTTCTGCATATGAAACATGAAAGACATACACACTCAAATGATGATGACAGTTGATGTAGGCAGAAGACTAGTATGTCATGATGTGGGTGTTTTCATACTGGCCTTGTTATAGGTCTATGGTCAGTTATATTGGCCTGAGGCAATAGGTAAGGTGTACCTAGTTAGGTAAACATCCCCATCACAAAATCTATTGTTTGTTTGTTTGTTTGTTGTTAAACCATGCACTCAGCTATATGATGGTGGTTGTAAATAATTGAGTCTGCACCAGACGATCCAGTGATTGACATCATGAGCATCAATCTACACAATTGGGATATGATGACATGCTTCACAAAGTCAGCAAGCCTGACCACTTGATCCTGTTAGTCGCCTCTTACAACAAGCATGGGTTGCTGAAGACCAATTTTAATTCAGATCTTAATGGGGATTCTTTCACAATGAAAAGAGTATTGTAGAATACTGAGTTTGGTTTAACGTCACTTTGAACAGTATTCCAGTTTACTGTGTGAGGAAAGCCCAAAGTGATGCAGATCTAAGACGGTTACCACTTTGATGAGACCGATGAACACAGATATCGTGCTGATAAAACTAGAAATATAATCATTATGAACCAGGATTCGAACCCACAATCATAAGTTTCTGGCATGTCCAAGGGACACAACTCTGCACATTGAATTCATTAGACGACTGGGCCACCCATGTCGCTGAAGGACTCAATGAGGCTGCTTACAGAGATCGGTCCGACCACAGTGTCGTGAGGTTGTTGACAGCCTGAATGTAAGGATGATTCTCTCTGAAATAAACACAATACAAGATTAAAATGTGCATCATGCATATCTATTGTTATCTAATCAGTTTACAGATTCAGTTCTACTAAGATAATGTATTCAGTTCTATTAAGATTAATGTATTCAGTTCTATTCAAATTAATGTATTCAGTTCTGTTAAGATTAATGTATTCAGTTCTATTAAGATTAATGTATTCAATTCTATTAAGATCAATGTATTCAGTGCTATAAAGATTAATGTATTCAATTCTATTAAGATTAATGTATTCAGTTCTATTAAGATCAATGTATTCAGTGCTATTAAGATTAATGTATTCAATTCTATTAAGATCAATGTATTCAGTTCTTTTAAGATTAATGTATTCAGTTCTATTAAGATTAATGTATTCAGTTCTATTCAGAGTAATGTATTCAATTCTATTAAGATCAATGTATTCAGTTCTATTCAGAGTAATGTATTCAATTCTATTAAGATCAATGTATTCAAGGCCACTGGTCCACATTCAGTTATATATGTCAATGACTTGGGCAATAGAGGCAGTATTAAATAGTATTAACTATCATCATATGTCCCATAGATAATTGATAATAAGTGAGAGATATTCTTAATAATAGGACCACCTCTGTGGTGTTGTGGATAGTGTCTGCCCGGAGAGCGGAAGGGCTGTGGTTCCATTCCCTGGCCAAAGCATTCCAAAAGAAGTTAAAAGATGATACTTGTTGTTACCCTGCCTGGTGTTTGGCATTGATGAATAAAACAAGGACGTACTTCCTTGGAGTCAGAATACTGTGGGGTATCCACGTTAAACTGTGGCATGGTATCTCAATGGGGTAACACAATGAAACCAGAATAAGTCACATGCCCAGCACCATATATGTGTAATATTTTTTAACAAAAAATTCAAACCTATTTCACCTCACCTCATGACTTAATATTAGTGTCGGGAATGAGGCAGTTCTTATTCCCCGTTAAATAAACAACAAGTCAAAAAGATCATGTCGGACATTTAATGAGACAAAAGACAGAAACACAAACCTTCCTTTACAAACCTGAATAAATCCCCCCAAAATGACACTTTTTCTGTATATTCAATGAAAGTGTGAATAATTGACCACTTTCTATTTTAAAGTGGATTTAACTTCCCGATAATGGAAGTTCATATTAATATTAGCAAAAGCAATCTCCTATCTGGAGTTCTAAGGACGTCTATGTCCCACAACGAATAAATGTCAACTGAAAAATGTTACGCTGTTCAACGTAGTGGTCTGCCACATACAGAGCATGAAAAGCATGAGATTTACAAAAAAGAACATGCGCAAGTGGTCTAGTAATGGGTGTGTTCCAAGTTAAACGATGAGCGTGTTTGGAAGAGCTATACCAAAACAAACCATGATCAACTGTTCCAAGACTTACCCGACAGTCTGACAGTTGCTGGTGTAGGAGAAGGCACACCTGAGGATAATGTCAAGGGCACAGAGGCTGATGACGTTGAACACTTCAAAGGTTTTCCCTGTCTTGCTGTGTTCTGTTATTTTGTTCTGAGGAAGAGATGATTTCAACATAGAATATTTATGATGACTGAAGCAATACCGGTACTGTCAAAAGATAGGAAGTGTGTGCTGTAATCTGATTGGTTGAAAACATTGTTTAATGTGATAGGATGCTGGAAATCCTCTCGACTTTCCATGTGTATGAATACTTTTCTTGAGAAGTATCTGGTTGGCTGGTTTGTTGTTTTAACGCCGCACTCAGCAATATTCAAGCTATATGAAGGCAGTCTGTAAATAATCAAGTCTGTGCAAGATAATCCAGTGATTGACATCATGATCATCGATCGATGCAATTGGGATACGATGTCATGCATGAACCAAGTCAGCAAGCCTGACCACCCGATCCCATAAGTCGCCTCTTACGACAAGCACAGTCACCTTTTTCGGCAAGCATGGGTTGCTGAAGACCTATTCCACCCCAGATCTTCACAGGTCTGAGAAGTATCGATTATTTTGATCTGAATTAGACAAACCAAGCTATTTGCATTGGCAACATCAATCTCATTAAAATCAGATCTTAGTTCTTGCTATCGCTAAACAAAGATCTGAAGACATCCCATTATGGGTTACGTCAGAACGACCTTTCATCCGACCAATCAAAGCATCGCTTACCAGATCATGAGAGTGACAGTTGGATTGTGTTTTCTAATCATGCAACCTCGAAAATGTTAACGCATGGTATTCCAAACGACAGTTAATGCCCATACGACTGATTACGTCAAAACTATCGTCTATCTCTTGAATTCCGTGGGATAAACATTTGAACGGAGAAGTTGTTGCACAGTACGTGGGAAGCACTGCCATACAATCGCAACCATATATTAGACATTCCGGAATGTTTGTTTGTTCAGTTTTCAAAAACTTAATCGAGAACTGTGTTAACATATTTTTCAAGCATAGTCTGAAATGGAAGTCGCCAGGTTGAAACGAGTGCCGTAAAGCTCAAGAAAGCTGCTTTCTAATTGGCTGATGTCGACTTCTTGTTAGTCATTTGAGTGGTCGGTCAAAGTTCGCAAAAGGTCGTTCTGACATGACCCGTAAAGGGATGTCCTCAGATCTTTGTTTGCGGCAGCTAGAACTTAGATCTGATTTTAATGTGATTGTGGCAACATGGATACCACATTCAACATTGGATTGTATGCCATATTATCGCGGCATTTAATGTATAATGGATCGTAATGCTTACTAACCTATTAAATACGTGCTAAATATGTCTTAAATATTTCCTACGGAAAAAATTCTTGTTCTTTGTTCAACTTTTATGACACATCAGTTAGTATTGATCTATGCTGGTTTTCTTTATCGAGTTCGGTGAACAAAGTACTTGTCATTAGCAACTCAAGGGGGGGTAACTCTATATTATCGTGGTGTGGCTATTTTGTGGTGTGATACATGTGGATTATGTGGTTTACATCACTTCCTGTTTTGGATTATGCATAATCAGTCTGCATACGACCTAGGTTGGGTGAAGGGACTTCGTCAAAACAAATGGGTTCTTTCCTAATCAATTTCCAATGGAGGTAGGGGTAATTCTACTTCAAGAACATTCTAGAAACTATCATAAAAAAGTTAACATGTATATAATACTTACGAGTAGCCGTGACATACAGAAACGAGTCCTGTATTTGACTAAGCAATGAAATATTGTGCTTAAATTTGCATAAGTAAACAGTCGACAGGGGGTGTGGGTTACAAGATGTAGCGATACTGTGATAATATAGAGTCTGCAATAATACAGAGTCATACTATATAATAAGTTTGATGAACAGGGACATATGATATCGGAATGTGCTTATTTACAGTATTTGCTGTGTTCATGAAGCTGGCTTCATTCAGTTTAACATACTACACAAAAAAGATTAGCGATAGCCCCTTTGCAAAGCTCTCTATACTATCGCTGTGTTCCCCACTGTGATAGTTGGCTACAACCATCCTTGGAGTTGAACTCGCAAATCGTTTACAAACAAGTGATGACTGTCATGACACCAAATACTCTTACCCCAGCCAGAGACCATATAATAGAGGGACGGCCCTCACCAACAGTTTATCACTAACCATCAGCGCTACGGTCTGGCATGTAACTGATACACCCCGACACCCTGCTGTTAACCTCCCTGTACTGCTGCAGATGCGCAATAGATGCGCAGACATTCACGACTGACCATTCTGGTAACCACGTAAACAATATTACATAATATCCGGGGTAAGAGTTAATTCGCTTATCCGACTACGACCAGCGACAATCCAATAAAAGGACGTCTCTTAGCGGATTACAAAGATTTTTGTATGATATCTCTCATTAGCACATGTCAGTTGGCTGCAAATTATTTGCTGAACATGTGTGTCTTCCGGGACATTTATTTCAATTTATATATCTCATTTTATGCTGCAATTGTTAACTATTATAAATAAACAAATATACCAAATCTACTACGAACGCCACAGAAAACTACGATCCGGTAAATTGCACAGGAACTCAGGAAGTGTAAATAAAACTCATTCAGAAGCAGGGAAGACACTTGTAACATATCACCATATTCCCGATGTTCACAAAATATATCTCCAGATTAACTTCATATCTTATAATAAGTCCAGACTAGATTTACTTGCAAAAATGCATGATCACCGACTGGTGTAAATGCTTTACTATTAGCCAGAAAAAAAATGACGCCATATTAATGTTTTTATTTCATGTAAATTCGCTACTATTTTATAATGCTAATAGTTCCAATGAATTAAAAATACACATTAAACTACGAGCGTTGTTAAATGAATTTTCGATGTGTCTGACAATGGGCTTCGAAAGAATCAAATGTTATTGGTTAATGCCAGTTTGGGGCTAGCAGTGATACTGGGGTTTGCCGGAGCGAGATAAGTTTGACACCTTCGACCTTGTTGTCTGGAACTTCTCTCCCGACGACTGCCGATATAATCCTTCTTTTTTCTTGGCATTTACAAAGCAAATGATAATTTTATAATACAAATATTTCATGTAACGGATGTTTATTTTTGTATGATGTTTTCACTGTTGTGTAAATACACAAAGTAAGTAGTACCTTCATCATATTTACATTATTATGATTGGGTCTAGGCCAAGATCATTTTGCTCATAATCAGTATTTACACGGCATAAAATAAATAATTGATTAAATGTAGTCATGATTAATACAGACAAAATCTTCAGAAGATAAACAAATATGTTATGGTAATTTAACTTAAAATATGTGACGTAAAATATGGCCTTGCGCCAAAAATCATACAAAAAAACTACCGATCGTACCTAAATACCTTCGGTACCAAGCCATAGGGGAAATCGTGATGAATGTAAAACTATTTAATTCAGGACCGATGATAGGAACACATTCGTCTGAAAGCATGCGAAAATTAAGAGTTGTGGTGTAATTATTTCGGGAAAAGTCAGATTTAGTCCCATTTCTGGAGTCAAAATCTGAAATATCGCATCCGCCCTAAATTTGTAAATGGCACTAAGCCAATTTTTAACATATTTCCTTTTTATACACCTCGGTAACCAAGGACTTTCATTGCGAATTAGAGGCCGTTATTGAAAATCAAAATCTGCACTTTTGCCGATTTTACATGTGCGCCATTTTGTTCCCTCGGACAAAGACAAAGCGTGATCACAGTCATCAAATACAGTGACAACGACATGCTTTAGGGCACCAACAAATCTCAGTTGTAATGTTAACAATGTTAAGAAATACATGAGTGTAATTTTGTATTGTAAAATATATCTTTTGCATGGGAAAAAAAGGCGACAACGATGACTGCAGTGAACGCGTTTCTGCTCGCTTCCGGACAGGCTGCGCAGTACAAGCCGTAGCACTGATGGTTTCGCGCATAGGCTAGAGGGCCGTCCCTCTATTATATGGTCTCTGCCCCAGCTAAGTTATTTTCTTTGTTAATTTGAATTTCTATTTCATTTTAACTATCATGTAATTTGTATAGTAAGAATATAAGGGGGAACTTGAGTGATTTTCCATTCGTATGCAATCTCTAACTAATCTGATCAAACAAATCAAAAGTTAAAGTCATCTGGGAAATATGGTCAGTTGTAACATTTTCAAAATTCACTATCATGGCATTCCCAAAGACATAAAAATATAAATGTTACTACATTTGGGGTTAGAGGGCAAATTTCAAGATTCTTGTAATGGCTGCTGCCACACTGACATCAGCGATGTTACCAAGAGTGTAACGAAGGTGTCACGCTCTGGGAAGGAGCTTGTTCAATAGCGTTCTTGGGTGGATTCATGTATCATAAATTTGTTTGTGGATGCAGTGAGAAATATAAACAATTGTTTCTGAAAGATTGAACATGTGAAATTTGGGGACAGGGGATCCGAAAGCTAAGTTAAAAAAAAGGAGCACCAAAGTAATCACAACAAATACGTACCAATAAAACATTAGAAGATTGATTATTGATGGAAATGTAAGGTTTGAGGATGTCAAAATGGAAGGCTGGAGTGAGAAGGCGCCGACTCCTAGCCCACCGGGCTCCATTTGCAATAAGCAGACCCTCCCCCAACCAGGGCACTCCCATGTCATACGGCCCTGATACATACTGTCCCCTGGGCTTCGGCTCTGAAAGAAACAGATTAATAGAAGAGGTGGGGTGAAATTGGGTTTAACATCACGTTTATAATTATTTCACTTATATAGCACCATGCATGAACGTGTGCGTGTGTCTGAGAGCCTTGTTTTATTCCCTTAGTGCCAAGCACCAGGCAGGGTAACAAGTCCCATCTTTTACCGACCTTCCAAACTCCAAGCCGACCAACTAGATTAATAGTAGAGGCAGACTGGAGCAGCCACCAATATAATTACAATAAAATGCAACTTAAGGTGTTTGCAAATACTTGCAAAAACTGAATCAGCCTCTTCACCATCCTTTCAGCTTCCAACATCTTAAGATACCACTAGACTGCCTCTTCGGTCTTGTGAAAGAGCCTGGAGAACAGAAAGTTAAAAGATGGTACTTGTTGTTACCCTGCCTGGGACTCGGCATTAGACTGGTCAGCTGGAGTCAGTATACTGTGTCGGATTGGGCCAGCATCGATCACCTACCTGAAGACTTGAACAGGTGTCTGACATCACTAGTAAATGTAAACCACCTACCTGAAGACTTGAACAGGTGTCGGACAGCATCAATTAATGCAAACCACCTACCTGAGCAGGTGTCTGACATCACCAAGTAAATGTAAACCTACCTGAGGACTTGAGCAGGTGTCGGACGGTGTCGGGGTGATGTAATATAATTACAGGAAGGAATGGTCCTGCCCAAACCCTTACTATCTTTGGAGCAACGTCCTGCATTACTTTGAAGTCATATTCAATGCCTGCTTCATTAGGCCCTGGAAACTGGAAGGAAAACTTCAATATGAGTACAAACAGGATGTATGTTATCTTGTAATGAACCAATAGTTAATACACATCATGATTTCACATCAATAAGTGGAGAACTCAATATGGCAACACTGTCAGTGAACATGTCATGACACAATTAGCAGTAAATGGATCTAGATGGTAGGGCAGGGATGAATTTAAATTTACTACCTGGGTACCAACCCTCCTATTGCCCGACCCTACCTGCTGAGTGAGTGAGTGAGTGAGTGAGTGAGTGAGTGAGTGAGTGAGTGAGTTGGGTTTAACACCACTTTTAAGTTTTAACAGTATTCCAGTTATATCGCAGCGTGTCAGCTTATGTGGGCGGAAAGCCCAAAGTGGTGTAGGTCTCAGACGTTTACCACTTCGATGAAACCCAAGAGCACGGGTATGGTGCTGGCAAACCTACAAACATTATCGGGGCGAACTGGGATTCAAACCCACAATCATATATTTTGGGAGTGCCCAATGTACACAACTCTGCACAGCGAGCCATGCCCCCATGTATAGTCAGAAGGAAATGGGAACATTGGTGACTTGTAGAGTAACCATAGAGTTTTAGATAGTTTTTGTCAATAAACAATATCACATGACTAACCACGGGTCCGGGTAGTCCTGTGGGTACCGGGTTCTACTCAGTACCCACCCAACCCGAGTATCCGAGTTACCCATCCCAGCCCTACTGGGTGGATGTTCAGTTTCGACTTGGCATCTTTAGCTGTAAACACTAGGTATGTCACGATTCATCAATATATCAGTGCATCGATAATATTCTCAGATGATACGATCCTTGAGACACACTTACCTGTAGTGATTCATATTGTAATCCTGTACTGATTTATATTTTAATCCATAGTTTCCGACACATGGGACATTATACAGCAATGGAATGACTTTGTTGGCAAAATGAGTCCTTGTCATCATTATTATTATAATTATTAGTTTATGCTATATATTCAGTGTCCAATGTACATAGTTTTAAGACTAAAATTCTATTTCAGTCTTTTTCTAACTGGTGTTGAAATTGTGTTTTATCTTAAATAATTTTAAACTTATTAAAAGTGAATTGATTAATTGATGAAATGAGAAAAATGAGGCCAGTTTTCAGGAAGTTTCAAGCCTTTTAAATAGTGTTTATATTTAAAAAATAATAAAAATATAAAAATTCATGCAAAATTCATGCATATTTGTAATTCAAAATGTATCATATTCGGGGATAATAATCACATCACATCCCTAGGAAACACATGTCAAAGTATCATTAGCAGTCATCTTAAACCAGATGTGTAGATCGATGCTCATGATGTCAATCACTTGATTTTCTGGACCAGAATCATTTCTTTAGACTGCCGTCATATATAGCTGAAATATTGCTTAGTTCAGCGTTAAACAACAACCATGTAATGCACTAACAAAATAACTGTGCATGTGTGAGTGAGTGAGTGAGTGAGTGAGTGAGTGAGTGAGAGAGTGAGTGAGTGAGTTTGTTAAAAGCTGATTTGAACATTATTCCAGTTATATCACGACATGTCAGATTAATGCGGTAAAAAAGCCCGAAGTGATGCAGGTCTATGACGTTTACCTAGATGCATAATTGTGGCGAACCAGGATTCAAACCCACAATCTCAGGTGATGCAACTCTGCACACCGAACTGCTGCACCTCAGATGACTGGGCCACTAGTGTAAGGGTAATTTAAGGCCAAGTACAAACATACTAGCGGTGCACTAACACAATACCATATGCAACTGGTACTGGGGGCCTGTTGATAACCTGGTAGGATAAAGACAACAAGTAGGGCCTACTGAATAAAAGATCAATTAAATAATCCGTTACGTGTCATACAGATGTAAGTGTGGCCATTGCCACGGCTATATCTCACCTTGTGCAGAGTCCCAAACAGAGGATTGAAGGACTGTTCCCCAGGGATTGCGTTAAATATTCTCCTGAACTTTAAGAACTTGAGAATGCCGCTGATACACTTGACTGTCAAATATCCCAAGGACGCAATGATGATAGTGTTTAAAATGGTTGCAGCATTGAAAGAAGACCCCTCCATGTTTCCGTCGTACTTGTCAAGCTAAATGATATAAATTCAATGTTCAGAGTCAAACTGTCATTACATTCCTTGATAACACAAAGCGAAAACTATTTTTTTTACTATACTGCAAAGTACAAAGGCCCCCAAGAGCCAGACGAAGACCCGGTCTGCTGAGCTCACGTTTGACCCAGTACTTTACTTGTACGCTGCCTTACGTAATGCGCTTTTACAACACCACTAGACAGGAGCCAAGTATCGCTAACTTCGGCGCACCACTTGTGTCCATGAGATTCAATGTTTGGAGCCTGTGAGGAAATTACTTGCTGACCGCTAAAACAATGACCGACCTATTCTTTTGTAGGATAAGCAGTCAAGAAGGATACCCATTCTACTTATGTCTCTACTTATGCATTTCAACTCACCTATTCAATAGGGTATTCGTCTATTTTTTTTTCATATAGTTTACACATTCAAAATTCCTCGACCAGAGTTCTACAGTTGTAAAATAAAGTTTGCGGTGACACTAATCACAGGACCATGTAACTAATATGTAACTAATAATAATAACAAACAAACTCGCAGGCGAGGCCTCGTCTATGAGTTTGTTTGTTAGTACTACTAGTTATTGAGTAACTAATTGAGTCCATGAACCCCTACCACCAAATTAAATTGTGATTAGGCTCAATAAGCCACTAAAAATATCCAGTATATTTGGTTTAAATCATTTAAACACTGTAGATATTCCGGGTTAGAATTGCTACCCAGCAACCGATATGCTGGTCGTAAGAAACAACTAAATATATAGTTGATTGCTTGTCATCGTAGGTCCCCACGACATGGATCATTCTCACAATTTCGACAATTTCATTGAAATAAGAACTTAGTATTCTGTAGCAATACTATGCACTAAGATCTCATTTGAATGAGACTGGAATTTCGATCTCTGGATTGTCCAGGCCGTCGCCGCATAGCCGGACTGGTATTATTAGTGTGTGTGGCGTTAAACAACAAACGAACAAACAAATAAAGTCATACAAATAAAATTGACTGAGAACGGAATTTGTTATTTTTGACCCCTCCCTTTTAGAAAATGCTGGTTGCTGGTATATCGATCTAGCAATTTGTGTGGTTATAATTTTTTTAACTTTTTTTTCTAATCTATAAACTACTTGGGCCAGTGATGGAAACAGACGATAGCAGAATCGCAGACTCCGAAGTCGACACCAGAAGGAGATATCGCTAAAAGTGAACGCTATCTAGAGTGTGCTCTAGCGGTTTGGTCTACATCCCGACCTGCACTATTTTCCACATGTTTTATCACACGTACACATTGATAGTTATTGACACAAGGTGTAAATCAGTACTGACCTCATTGTCGAGCCAGAGACCATATAGGTGTTGGTGTCTCTGGTCGTGTGTGATAAATACATTTATTACCTACGGGTGCAAACATATGTGCCATATCACGTCACGAGACAACAGTGTATTGTTTCCGTCATCCGGACGGCATTGTTGACGTCATTCGAATCTTATTGTGACCTCACATTAGAAACGGCGTCATGTTGCGACTTGCTGTCCTTATAGGTAAACACTACGGGTGCGTTGCAAAGCGCCAATCGCTTGCAAGCGATGAACAGCGATTCGCCTTACAACAGTGCGCTAACTTTCAGCCGCTTGCAAGCGAAACAATCGCTGGCTGAGGTCGCTTCGTTCTCAAACCAAAATGACGGCTTACTTTGAGAGCGGAACAAGAAATTCTTGACTTGATCAACGAGGAAATGAGCAAAGGCAGCCAACACCCCATCATCCTCAGCCTGCTCTACATCTTCAAAGTACATGTAGTCATAAATTCCATCAGCTCGTCATTGAGCCTCTTCTATTACGTTCTTCATTACGTCAAGGCAACCAAGCGCTAGTTGCGCCGCCATTTTGGAAGAGTTCGCAAGCGCTTCGAACTGTAGCAGGATGAGCGATTAATTTGCTTTCTCTTAGCGGTTCGTGGCTTGCAACGCGCCCGTAAAATTCGTCTCTGTATGTAGACATCTTCTTCGGTAATAAATAGAACATTATATTCGTGTTCATGTCATACTATCTTGGTGACACTCGCGTCGTAAACAAACTATGACATGAACACTCATATAATATCCTTGTAGATCGCTTGTGGAGTTTCTCCGTATGGAGAGTTTTGTTCTGCAATATACCAGCTTTATGACGGCGGTCTGTAATGATCGAGTCTGGACCAGACAATCCAGTGAATGACATCATGAGCATCGATCCACGCAATTTGTATATAGGGTGACATGCATCAACCAAGTCAGCGAGCCTGACTACCCGATCCTCTTACGACAAGCATAGTCGCCTTTAACGGCAAGCATGGGTTGCTGAAAACCTATTGTGGGGAAGTGTAGTGGGAATATGTGCATAAACCCATGACATGAACACATGACAACACTAATGTGCAATTTAGCGGTTCTCAAAGCAGTTGACGTCAAATTGTTATGTAATTGCAGAGAGTCTGTACAACACATATATTGACATCCAACAAGAATAATATAATAATAACAACAGAACAATATATACGATAATAATATGTAGGTGTGAGTGAGTGAGTTGGGTTTAACGCCACTTTTAACAGTATTCCAGTTACACCACGGCGTGTCAGCTTAATGTGGGAGGAAAGCCCGAAGTGATGTAGGTCTCAGACGTTTACCACTTCGGTGAAACCCACGAGCACGGGTATGGTGCTGACAAACCTAGAAACATAATCGGGGTGAACTGGGATTCACAATCATAGGTCTCTGGCGTGCCCAAGGGATGCATCTGGGCGCCTTAGACGACTGGGCCACCCGTGCCCCCTGCATTTAGGGTGCATCTATTTGATTTGTTTGGGGTGGGTACGGAATTGTTTTAGAAAAATTATTTTGCCCAGTTATATCCAACAAACAATATATTTACTGAGCACTATCAAACAATCTATTCATTTTCACCATGAACATAATGTTTTTAAAGTTTGGATATTTTTCAGAAACCAAACTATTGACATTTTTCACCACTGCCAAGGTCATCAAGCAAGGAAAATGTCGATCTATGTAATGTTATCAATTAAGGGAGCCTTGCTGGGTAGATCAGATGTTCAGCTTGAACCATCAATATATAGAATTAAACGTCCAGAGATATAAAAGCTTGTTGAATATCAGAGGAAGTTATCACTCCGTCAAGGTCACTCAAACTACGGCGCTCTGATTGGCTGAATTGCACATACTTTCAGGTTTGATTGACGTTTTTTAAGATCATTGTAAATGTAGATTTAAAAAAACCCAGCATTGTTGACGTAATTTGAGGCTAACGCCTAGGCTCTGTAATATATGATTTTGATGGAAACAAATAACTCCATTTTAATTGAAAAGGAGCCCCGGTAAGATGGGAGATACAGAACCTGCGGAAATCTAGACTTGCTTCATTTAGGGCTATATATTTACAGAAAGGGCGTGGCAGAATGGAAGATAATGGTTCATAGACTGTGAGACAGATTAAGTAATTTGTAATGACGTCACAATAGTAGTAACGGCGCAGATTTTCTACTCCATTAAATAAAGTTTGGATAAATGGAGATTATAACACTAATATGTTTTAGTACCTTATATATCACAACATGTTACGAATAAAAAGTCTATTATGCGAGTATATCATACATATTCCTAATATGTTCTGTATTGACTAAGGGGCGGTCGGGTAGCCTAGTGGTTAAAGCGTTCGCTCGTCACGCCGAAGACCCGGGTTCGATTCGCGACATGGGTACAATGTGTGAAGCCCATTTCTGGTGTCAGACTTGGTTGATGGCTTGTCGGCGTGTCCCGACCGCACGCGCGCATACAGTCTCTATACGGACTCTCGTTATAACAATTAATTTGGTATTTCAGATACCTTTTACAGATAGATATATCTTATACAGATATAACTGCCCGCCTATATGTTATGTTGTGATACTACGGTCAATTTTGAAGAGTATCGTGCCCTGGCTACTGGAACGTGGACAGGATCATAATTTTGTTTTACAGTTAAATACAGCAAAACGGTTACGCTTCGCCATTTCGCATGAAGTCGGGCACCAAGTTCAGGCGCGCTCTACATTTTAACCAATCACATGTGAAGGGATTTTTAGTGCGGGATAGTTAAAATGGCAGCGTCCAGAGATAGCCGAACGAGCTTGAAATGTTTTTGTTTAGGAAGTGGCGTGTGTCTCCTGCCTGTATTTACATACTTCAGTTTTCTGATAGAGAGTTTGTGGGACGATCACCATGTTTACATAATAGGATCTTATGTCATCGCCTGTAATGCTGTCATTGCTGGGTTATATATCCAAAATAAGGACATGTACAAAGTAAGTCTCGGCTTCGTACGCATGAACAGTGTTTGCATAGCGACGTGTCACCTATGCCAACGGGAATGAAAACCTCGAGTAATTGTTTTGTTAATGAGTATTTTGTCATGCTTGAACTGATCGCTGATTATTTAATAAATCAATTCATACGATTTTGGCATACCTTTCTTTATGTTATGAAGTTGTGGCTTTGATCGAATATAGAGTGATTATTGATTACAGTGTCTTTAACTAGTCCTATAGTCCTTGCCAAACTACCCAATAGTAAAGGTATCATTAGGTCTTGAAGAAATTATATTAAAGGTTTTGCTACATGTTATATTTATGAGGACAAGGGGATTTAAATGTTAGTTACTACCGCTGACGCATAAGACTTTCGCCCGTACCCCCCCCCCCCCCCCAATAAAATATATATAGTTGGAAGAAACACGGTATATGTATATATAACTTTTGGAGGGGGGATACAAGTGAAAGTCTTTTTGTAGTGTGTTTTATTGTTTTCAGAAACACCTTCATTCAGCGTTTATTCCTTAATATTTTCAGAATGGTGTGCGTGCAGGTTTCTTGGGAGTATGTTTTGGAACTGGACTGCTGATTAGCATGTCTGACACATCATGGGTTCACTTCGGCTGGTACATCACAGCTCTTGCCTTCTTCCACTGGTCCGAGTACTACACAACTGCAGTCACCAACCCTAAAGCCTTGTCCTTGGAGTCCTATCTTCTTGATCACAGTCGGGAATACAAGCTGGCGGCACTAGCCAGCTGGACAGAGTTCACCATCGAATGGTTTATTTTTCCTAGTAAGAGTTGTACATCTAATTACTTCTCTGGTCGACTAACGGGATCGGGTGGTCAGACTCGCTGACGTGGTTGATGCATGTCATTGACAACCAATTGTGTGGATTGATGCTCATGATGGCAATCACTGGATTGTCTGGTCCAGACTTGATTATTTACAGACTGCCGTCATATAGCTGGAATATTGCTGAGTGCGGCGTTAAACAACAAACAAACTTCTGTGGTATCCCCGTGTAGATCCGGGTTAGAATTGGTCTTCAGCAACCCATGTTTGTCGTAAGAGACGACTAACAGGACCGAATGATCAGGCTTGTTGACTTGGTGTGTGATGTGGGGGTGACTATTGGTCTGGAAATCACTATTGCGATAACTATTGATATTGCAAGCAACTATTGCGATAAATATCGATAGTTTTCAGTGTATCATTTCAGATGGATTTTAGAGTTGAATTAAACCTTGGAACTAAAGTTTCCTTTGAATGTGATAACCATAACAACAAATGAAAAGTAAAGTTTGAGATATGACGGATTTGTTTTTTCTTTACCCTAATAATTTAAGAAAAAGAAACTTCCACATTACCATGTGTAAATTACTGCCACTCATGATCAAAAGAAAAACAAAATTTAACAGCATTGCATGTATTTCATTAAAATCGTAAATACAATCGAAACTATTGATATTACTAACTGAAATCGATACTATTGATCGGAAACTGATTTAACAATCGATTTATTGACTTTAAGTGCTTACCAATAGCAATATATAGATATTTCGATTTATCGTGACACCACTAGTGTGATGCATGTCATCTTATGCCAATTGCATAGATCGATGCTCATGATGTCAATCAAAGGATTGTCTTGTCCAGATTTGAGATTGGCTCAGAGACCCACACATCCTGTTGTTGAGTACCTGGCATATCTGTCAGGGCCCAAGTAAGGCATTTGTTTGTGTTTTCATGATTGTAGCCCAGCAGCCTTAATTTAACCCTTACATCTTTTGTGAAATCAGGTCTGAAGGAGATTCGATTTCTGAGCCTCATCGGAGTCATGCTTGTGATTGGTGGGGAGTTTTTGCGGAAAGTGAGTATGGTGACAGCCAACACAAACTTCAACCACTATGTGCAGCATACGAAACAAGCCGGTCACTTACTGGTCACTCATGGAGTTTACAGGTTCTTCAGACATCCTGCCTATGTCGGCTGGTTCTACTGGAGTATAGGGACCCAGGTCAGTAGGAGTATCCCCCTTCATGTTAATGAGTGAGTGAGTGAGTAAAAAGTCAATTGCTCAAAAAGTTATCTGGAGCTCTGTTAATATTAGACAACATTACTCTGACAAGCAGGCTTGCTACCTGTTTGGTTCCCTGCAACCCGGATAACCCTGACAACATCACCAAAGCTTAAAAAAAACATTAGGGCAGTGAGGTAGCCTTGTGGGTAAAGTGTTTGCTCACCAAAAGCTTTGGTTTGATTCCCGACATGGGTTCAGTGTGTGATAAAGCTGGAATATTGCTAAAAGCGGCATAAAACTCAACTCACTAACTCAAAACACATTTCCCATGTTAAGCCTACATCATCACTGGCTATGCCTTTCGTTACGACTATCAGGAGGTCAGGCTTGCCGACTTGGTTGATGAATGTCATCATATCCAAATTGTGTAATCAATGCTAATGATACTAATCACTGGATTGTCTGGTCCAGTTTCGATTATTTACTGACCGCTGTCATATAGCAGTAATTTTGGTCCGTGCAATGTTAAACACATGTTAAACAACAAACAAATTTACGTTACGAAATATTTGTCAATTTAGAACTGGAAGTTAAGTGTTTATTATTTGCTTTTGCCAATGAAATAACAAACTTGATGGTGAACATGGATGTTGCACCTTGCAGCTGGTACTGTGCAACCCGGTCTGCCTCGCTGGCTACACTGCTGTGTCCTGGAGGTTCTTTAAGGAGAGGATCTTCGAAGAGGAACTGTACCTGCTGAACTTCTTTGGTGAAGAGTATATTGACTACCAGAGGAAAGTCGGCACAGGCTTGCCGTTTATCAAGGGATTCCGTGCTGAGGTTTGATGTAAACACATGCAGGATTTGTGTAGTTACTGCAGTATGTGATAGACAATCTTTCAACACTATGCACAGGAATGTTTTTTTGACTGTTGGTGAATTTGTCAAAGGAGAAATCCATGGTGTTGCCGGTTTGAAATTTACAGTTAAATTTGAAGTTTTTTTGTTATTTGTCAGTATTTGATAGGCAGTCTGTGCCAAAACGTTTTAATGTACTACTACTAGCCAAGACTTGGCATTATTTATAGATTTTAGTGTTAGTACATGGTAGTTGTTTCAGCTGAATTCTCCATGTTTACTTGACAGAAAGAAATATTTATTAGACTGAAGATTAGTGGTTACAGTCTCAGGCTGGATAGATGATAAGAGATATTTCATATGTACAGTTGTCAACACAAAATGCATTGTTTCAGCGTTAGAAATTGGCACTAGTCCTGTGGTCCTTGCCAAACTGCCCAAAAGTTAAGGTATCATAAGGACTAGTAGACATTTGCCATTTTAAGGGTTTTGCTATAGTATATGGTATCATTACAAGGACTAGTGGATCAAACCTGTTAGTTTCTACCGCTGATGTTAGTAGAATCTCGTGAAGTCAAGGTCCCATTCCATCATGATAGCATCCAAGAACCACGTAGATCTTGTCCATAGTTTACATGTGCTGGACAAAGGTCACAAGAGGATACTGATGGGTCAGTACTTGGTGTTGTCCTGTTGATATGGTTGGAGTATGCCAGATACTCATTGTCAGTACTTTACAGCTTTGTATACACCACATTTCTCCGTCACCCATGAATACATAGGGATGATATGACGTGTAGTACTGACTAGTCAAGCAATGGAATGAGGCCATGTCATTTTCCCGAGGCAAGGAAGTTAACTGACTATGAAATTCCAGTTTTCACCCTCGCTGAACTAGGGTGGTATTTGTGGGCACGATTGTCATGATTGTAGCGCCACCAGTGGTTATTACGAGCTATGTCCCTTCTGTCAAGACGATTTAATTGATAGTCAAAATCTATATTGTGATAAAACGGGTCTTAATTAGCGAAATGCATCAAATCATGTGAGCACCTTAATTATAAACATGGAACAGATTTGGAAAAACCTTTTGACACAGAGTTGGCGGTAAAAACCCTGCAATTGACTGAAATCTTCACGGCAGATTATAACAAGATGTTGATTTCGTCACGCAAATTTGATATGCATAGACTCCTAAGTCCAGCCAAAATATAACTCCATAATTCCAGCCTAGTTCGGCAAGGGTGGAAATTGTACTTTCATGTTCAGTTAACTCTGTTGTCTTGGGAAGATGGAGGCTCCGTATAATCTCAACTTTGTGCATCAATGTTGAGTTTTGTATGAAACCTACCGTTGTCTGATAATGAAGCAATGTGGAGAATAGATGCTTGCAACACTGTAGCACACCCTGCACAAGAAATATTGCTTTTATGTGATCTGAGCACTCATTAGCTTGAGCGCTCCTTCATCTCCCTCACTGGAACTAGCCAATCTTGATTTGTTGGTTCAGTATACTCGACTACGCTGCATAATGAACATGTGTATTGATGGGCATTTCAGGCGTATAGTCTTCACAAACCTATGATGTATTGATAGTGGCCTGATGCTGTACATTCAGCCCAGCTCAATCCACTGGGACCGCCTCCGTGGTCTTGTGGTAGAGCGTCCGCCCGGAGAGCGGAAGGTCCAGGGTTCGATCCCGGGCCGCGTCATACAAAAAGACGTTAAAAGATTGTACTTGTTGTTACCCTGTCTGGCGCTCGGCATTAAGGGGCTAAAACAAGGACTGGTCGGCTCGGAGTCAGTATACTGTGTCTGAGTGGGGTATTCATGTTAAACTGCGGCATGGTATCTCAGTGAGCTAGCACTATAAATCGGCATCAGTCCGGACTAGTACAAGCAGCCACACACACACATACACGTGCATGCACGTCGCTATATAAGTGCAATAATCTTGGACGCGACGTTAAACCCAATTTCACCTCACCTCACCTCAATCCACTGGACATGGTGATGGTTGGACCATGTGGGAAACACCCTGACTGACCACTTCATTATAGGTTAATATCAGAATTTCATCCCAGCCCACCACACATCCTAATTATTCTTGTCTATGCTTGTCATTAGTGGAAACTTAATGGATGGGGTGGTAAAGCTCAGTGACATGGTTGATAGTGTGTCATTGTATCCCGATAGCGTGGATCTTTGTTCACATTTGTAATCACCATGATCACTGGATTATCTGGTCCAGATTTGATTATTTCCAGACCGCTGTCATTTAGCTGGAATATTGCTGGCTGCAGCTTTCAACCACAAACAAACAGTCGGGTAATATCTCGGTGGAAATGAAAGAAGCTTGGTGTGTTTCTTTGAGGGAAAAGTTATGAAGTTATCACCCTTCTTTACGAGTGAAATTTATCAAAAATTATGTTGGCTCAACTTTAAGACAAGTTACTGATCAACTTGATATTTTTACTCTTCATTTACACCAGATTTTATTCTCCCTTTGTAAGACGCCTCCGTGGACTAGTAGTAGATCGTCCGCCCGGAGAGTGGAAGGTTCGGGGTTCTATCCCCGGCTATGTCATACCAAAATATGTTAAAAGATGGTACTTGTTCTTACCCTGTCTTGCGCTCGGCATTGAGGGGCTAAAGCAAGGACTGGTCGGCTTGGAGTCAGTGGGGCATTCATGTTAAACTGCGGCATGGTATGTCAGTCAGCTAGCACTATAAATCAGCATCAGTCCGGACTTGTACAAGCAGACGCACGCACGCATATATATATAAGTGCAATAATCTTGGACGTGACGTTAATCCCCATTTCACCTCACCTCACCTTCCCTTTGTAAAAGCAAATCCTGTCTTGCAAATGAATTCAGTGTCCAGTGGATTGGGACTTGAAATTGTGACGTAGAGGAAAGAGTGATGCCGATTGAGAGTAAGTCATTCCATATTACAACCAGGTAAGCCTGTTATAACCTCATGGGCCAGTATCATTTCTGTCCAGCTTCCGGAATCTTAGAAGTCAGCAATGTGGCATGATTATTCAACTATTGCCTTACAACTGTTTTGTAGAACTTTACAACAAATCCTTTTGTATGTTTATTGTTAGTATTAAATTACACAATCATGTTTTGAAGAATATGTGCATTGTTATGTTTAAGACTGCAGACGAGTGTGACATTTTATATCATATGATTCATGTATGTCTCTTTGTTGGACAAGACTCTCCTTGTCAAAAACTGTACATAACTGACTGTTTTGACCAGCTGCAGAGCTGGTGGGCTGGTGGCATTCCACAACGAGAACCTTGTCTAGTCTGTTTGGAAGCATACAATTACCATTTCTGTTCAAAGTTTTCGTTTCTTGATTGCTTGTCTTTTTGTCTTGTTTGTAGCATAGACGTGTTTGGGTTGTTCTTTGTTTGACCAAAATATCTTTGCTGTAATGCAGAAATTTGTGATTGAAAAATTGTTAAAATCTCTGGCGGCCACAAATATATTGTGGTCATCGCTGAGGTAGATTTAAGTAATAATACAATTAACTGGCCAGCAGGGTTAGTTAGGTTTGAAAAGCACCTGCTCTCTTTTAAGGCTCATGGGCCGTATGAACAAATGAAATAGTCTTTCTGTGTTCTTGCTGTTTGTTTACTGTTAGTACCAGGGCTGGATCGGGTAACTCAGGTACTTGGGTAGGGTGGGTCCTGAGTAGGACCCCTGGTACCCACACTACTACGTGGACCTGTGGTAAGTCACGTGACATATTGTTTAAGGACAAAAACTCACTAGAGCTCAGTGGTCACACTACAAGTTGCTAATGTTCCCAGTTCTTTATGAACATGCACACATTCCTTTTGACTTGTATATGCTTGAGTAACGATAAAGCTTCAGTCAACTTCAGTGTATGCATGATTTGATCGTTTCATAAGAGACCATATATCTATTATATGGTCTCTGGTTTCACACATGTATAGGGGCGGTCGGGTAGCCTAGTGGTTAAAGCGTTCGCTCGTCATGCCGAAGACCCGAGTTCGATTCCCGACATGGGTACAATGTGTGAAGCCGTGATATTGCTGGAATATTGCTAAAAGCGGCATAAAACCATACTCACTCACTCACTCACTCATACATGTATCTAAACAGTTTTTGCCAGGGCTACAGTTTAACTATTCCCAATTAGACATGGTGTTCGTAACTCTTTGAGACCTACAGTTGGTACCCGGGTTGGGTCGGGTAATAGGGGGTTGGGTACCCAGGTAGTAAATTTGGACTCGTCCCAACCCTAGTTAGTACCATCATGGCCGCCTACAGAACTGTATGTCAGTAAATGCTTATATAAATATGTATAGGACAACCTATCTGGTACACTGGATAGAGCGTCTGCCCTGTAAAGGGGAAGGTCAGTGTTTTATCTGGTCGGCTCGGAGTCGACACGCTGTTGCTGGGTGGGGTGTTCATGTTGACCTGCAGTATGGTATCTCAGTAGGCTGGCACTATAGAACCTGCATAACTCCCGACTAGTACAAGCAGACACATGGATGCACATCACTATATAAGTGCAATAATCTTGAATGTGACATTAAGCCCCATTTCACAATAAACTATGAATACTCCACTTGGTCAATGACTCATGTGTTTACAGACACAAGACTTGACAAAAGATTATCGATTATTGAAAAAGAAGAACATTTGTTCTCAAAAAAAGAGAAAGCCCCCAAACTTTTAACGTCCGTTATCTCCCTTGCCTCGGGAAGATGACATAGGCTTACGATAATCTTAGTGCTAAGATCGCTTTGTGCAAGTGGGCCCTGGTTTGAACTGTTCCATGCAACATATGCTCATCAGACTCGGTGACTTGTTTTTTTGTTGTTTTTATGTTTTTTTTAATTGTTTTTATTCATTCCAGAGGGCACATAGTCATTGTTTCATAAGATGCATCAAATTACATGGTAAATATCATGAGACAAATGTACAGGAAGTGATATGACAGTACGTTCACCTTTGATACATTGTTATAATTGTCAGAGATATCGATTAAGTAAGCTTATCCGTCTGTGTTATGGTTTTTCCCATTAAAATCCGGGGCGGTCGGGTAGCCTAGTGGTTAAAGCGTTCGCTCGTCACGCCGAAGACCCGGGTTCGATTCCCGACATGGGTACAATGTGTGAAGCCCATTTCTGGTGTCCCCCGCCGTGATATTGCTGGAATATTGCTAAAAGCGGCGTAAAATCAAACTCACTCACTCACTCACCATTAAAATCCATATTTTAGTGACAGAAATTATTGTTCCATTTCTTTTTGCAAGGAACAACTCGACATGGTAAATATCTTTCAGTATATGTCTATATGATTTAAAACAGTTTTATTCCTTTAATATGTGTTACGTAAACATGGTAAATGTGTCTTTTGCTAATATCAATAAGTGATTTAATAAGAAGCTGTTTGTACCTCCAAAATAGATATCTTGTTTTGTAATAACATGACCGAAAATAACATTTATGAAAGCATTAAATTCGTCCCAGAATTAACATAAGAACATTCTAAATATACATGAGCAACGTTTTCACTGTCTGAATTGCAAAATGAACATAGCTTGTTGCTGACTCAGTGACATGGTTGATTTCCTGTCATCTTACACAGACAGCGTAGATCGTTGCTCATGATATTAATCACTGGATTGTCCAGACTCCATGATTTACAGACCGCTATCATATAGCTGGAATATTGTTGATAGTAGTGTGAAACCAACTGGAACTGGCAGTCATTTGTTCTGAGGTACGGATCCAACATGAGATTGTGTCATGTTTCCTCTGTGTACAAAATGATGAAAGTTAATTACACATTTTTCAGTTTTTATTGAAGTTACTGTCTCAGATCACAGCATGACAAAGAAATTCAAGTGTTTCCGTGTATGAAGGATTGTCTTGGGTGTAGCATGTTATCATATTAAGTTATTTAACAGATTAGATTTCTCTCATGTTTTAGAATTTAACATGGGTTGCTTGTATTATTTTACTCATGTTTCTATCTGATTATCAAATCATGTTGACAAAATGAAATCTGTACAAAAATGTTTAAAAAATCTTAATCATATGGTGACACATTGCAAGCAAGTTGGTTCCCTAATTATATACCAGATATTATATACTGGCATTTCTTTCATTTTATGTGCACCTCCATTTTCCCAAAGATGGTATCCCGGCTTGGGTATGTAGCATGCCAAAACAATGGGAATGTTGTGGTAGAGCTCAGGTGACTGTGTTTCACAAAGGTGTGATGCAAGTACAGTGTGGGTAATCTGGAATAACAGTTTGTCAATAATTCATCAGCTTGGAATGTACAGAGACCACCTCCTTGTCAAAATTGCGACTTCGGAGCTGGTTGAACACTTCTATGTCCACAAGTACTGTAAATTTGGAAAGTATTGCGAGCAGGAAAGTATTGCAAAAACTGCGATTGGCACATACTTGCAGTAGTTTCATGACAATTATTTTTGCAGTCCAACAATCAACAAAAAATACATATTTATTGAATTCACTTCCACATGTTGTCAAACCACCCAGTACATGATTCAACACATAATCCCTCACATCCCGTGTTTCCCTAATTACACACTGTCACTCAGTGTCAACAGTCCAATTAGTCGAAGTTCACTAACCTGCCACATCTCGGCAACACATGTATCTCTAGTTTAAGAATCACGGACTGACACTGAGTTACCATTTCAACATGCCTCTTCCTACTTATCAACTTAAACCATGTTAACACCTGCAAAAGTAGCTTTGATATTTGGTAATCTCAACAGGGTGTCACAAAGCTTTCCAGATTCAGTTACGGCTATTGTTACACATTCGTAGCCATTTCACGACGCAAAATTTTCCATATTTGAAGTAACTGATGTATTTCAACATCAGAACCTAGTGATCTCAGTCCCAGTCAGGATCATAATCCATGTTTTCTTTGTAATATTTTGATATTGGTAAATACTCATATTGTATGCTTGCAATGTTTGAATGTAACAGCATAACACTCACAGATTGTGTTTACAAGTGGTTTACCAAACAATGCAGGAGTTGTCTCCCTTGGTACTGCAGTTGTCTCCCTTGATAGATTATTGTCATGTTTGCAAGGTCTCATCATCATGTGTTGACTGTGTAGAGGTATTACATTCCAGTGTCCATTCCGGAATATTTTCACAGTTGTATATATATGTTACTATGGTTATTTAAAGTGAGTTACATGTTTCACTGATGTCACCTGTGCAGGAATTCCAGGGTAGAATATGTCCTGTTTTCCTGACAACTGATTGATGGTTGCTCATGTTGTCAAACACTTGTTTGCTCTGAATCGTTTTGGGTGGCCCAGTCGTTTCTGGCACTGCAATTTTCTGTGTAGAATTGCATCCCTTGGGCACACCAGGAACTTATGATCGAAGGTTTGCTTGCCCAAATTATGTTTCTAGGTTTGTCAGCACCATACACGTTCATGTGGGCTTCACAAAAGTGGTAAATGTCAGAGATTTCGGGAATTCTTCCCACATCAAGTTGACACACCGTGATGTAATTGGAATACTGTTCAAAGTTAATTTAAATCCAACCCACTCACTCACTCTGATTTGATTATTTACAGCTTGGAATATTGGCTGCAGTCTCTCACTATGATTGCTAATAGTTGACCATGTTTCATGAGGCAGTAATGACCCGCCCACCAATGTGTGTAATACTTTGTGCCATCATACAAGATTTGATACACCAGGGTAATATGACTTTCTCATTTGTGAAGCTAAATTTTGATTGAATAAATTTGGTGTATTTCTTTTTGCTGGATCTCATAGTCTGGTGTAAACATACACCATCATAACATAAAATTTTCAAGTGTGACATTGTGTATCATTGGTTTCAACATTTCTTGTTGAACTGAAATTGTCAGATGTCCTACAGTAAACATGGTTAGGACTGAAAGGATTCAGCGATGCACTTGTTTTTAATTCAAGGATATGTTACACAGTAACATACAAATTACCTTATCTGCACATTGGAAGGTCTACAAAGTGGTTCCACAGCATTGGGACTCTGATCAGATGAAGTCCATTAATGAGTCTCATCTTGGATTTCAGCATCATCAACATTTGACATCAAGAAGTTTATTTAGAAAAACAAATCAGCTTTGAGTTCCTCTCTTTTATAAATAATGATTACATCTACTCATACAAAGTAGACACAATTAATCATCATGGATAACAACTTCTTTAATACTGTAAAGGCGACGTTTATCCTTAGAGTCTTGCTTGACAACAGTATAAGGATCTGTACCGAAACATTGCCTTTGCAGTATTAAGGTTGTTATCCATAAATTGTGTCTACTTTGTCATTCGTCAACTTCAAAGTAATGCCTATCAAACAATACATTTATTCATATATAGTGTATGGTGATGCTTATCTTGGACAAGGTTTCATTACATGTGTCAGCTCTACCAGCAGCAGCATCTGAGACTGATAACTGTATTGTGAAACAATAGACAAGTGTATCAGGACAGCTCTAAAGAAGCATGAAAACTGTCTGATTATCCAGGAGAAATCCAACCAGTTCAGTGTTTGAAATGGCTGTGTATAAATGGTTGTTATTATTATCACTCAAGGTCTTGCTATTTGACCAGTACTGACCATTTGGTGGGTCAAGGAACAGACTGTCGAATGTAGACCATACATGGAATATAGGTCAGTGGTCAAAGGGACTGCAATACTTTATGCAGAGTTGTTCCTTTTGTCAAGCAACAGCCGCGAATAGCTGCAAAATTGCTGCAAATATTCACTCACTCCTTTTGTCAAGTCCCAATATTTACTATATATTCCGTTAAATGTGGCATAAACTTGACTCACATAACTACAATAAATGGATACCCAATTACTGCTTTATCAAGCAACTGCTTTCTTCACAGATTTAATAATGATATTAGATGGTCAGGTCTTCTTGTCAAGACTTCGTCCAGAAAACTTGTTTGTCAATGTCATTGCATGGAATGAGTGCCCCTTTTTGAAATTGGTCCCTGTGGACACAGATCTCTTGCTTCATTCCTGTGGTCAGCGAGATCCTATTGGCCATTTTTCTGGCTCTTGTTAGTCATTTCCGTGCTGGTCTTGAAGTGGTATGGTTTGTTGGACCCGTAGAAAGGGTTTATTTATTATGTACATAATAAACTTTAGAATGGATAATGTTGGTTTGTTGTCTTTATTACAATACGACCTTAAGACTTTTCATGTCAGCTGACAGATCCTTTTACAGTTGTTATCCTTAAAGTGGAAGCATATTCAGAAACATGGTGGAGTCAGTATGATTATTTGAGCTTACTCCACAGAACTGTTTATGCTGTATTTTTTTCTGGCTGAGCTACGACTTGCTATCATTTTACTTGGATAATGTTCATAAAACACAACAAACAGACTGGTTATTTCAAGAATTTATTCACAGTGGATACACCTGACTAATAGGAAAACTGATCATTGAATACTCAGAACATTTCCAACTTCACTTTACAATGGTAAAAGAAAAGAAAATATTTGGAACAATGAAAAGAATAATTAGGTTTTTTTTGTAGGGCACCAAGCACGCTTTTCTTTGTCTCGATGACATTTTTTTCAAAAATATATTGCAAAAATATATTTATCATATTAATAAGTAATACAATATCATTGATAAATGGAATTGTAATGCAAATGCAATATAGATTTTCTCCCAGCAAAATTAACTATAATTTACACTAAAATATATGAATGGTAAACTTCTACAATATGAAAACAAGGTCAGTGTTTAGATCCCATGGCGACAATGCTGTGATAAAACATGGTACAGTGAAGTACATGACAATTGCCCATTTCTTGAACAGTAGCTCGGTATCTAGAATATGTTTATCCTTGTCCTGTAGCATGGCATGTTACTGTGGGAACAGACCGAGATGCATTACACACCTACGTTCTATTTCCATGATATGTGAGACAAAAGTAGATATGTTGAAGCAACAAAACTTTTTCGAAGTCCTTCAATTCTATACCTGCTTGTGAACTGAAAAGTAACATCAAAAAAGGAAACTGACAGATTTTTGAAAATATTCACAGAGTCCTATGCTTGCACTAGGATAATGCAAAAGTGTTTTGCATGAGTCCACTGCTTTCTGTGAGCCATGTGATTCACTGTACCACATTTTGTCTTGTTTCACGTGATTCACTGGACCACGTTTTATCTTGTTTCATGTGATTCACTGTACCACGTTTTGCCTTGTTTTATGATTCACTGTACCATGTTTTATCTTGTTTTATGTACCACGTGCCTTGTTTCTTGTTACTGTACCATATTTTGCCTTGTATCATGTGATTAACTGAACTGTGTATCCTACTAGGTGGTTAACTGTTAGAGGTCTGCGAGAGGTGAGACACTGATATAAGTAGACTGAAAAGAAACTGGAGGGATTGTACTATGATTTACCTGTCAAGGCCACAAATACAAGACAAAAAGGTCTAGAAAAATGCAGAAACTAAAGAAAGTAAAGAAAAATAGTAAGATGAAGAGTGTTCCAGCTGACCAATGGATGGAGTTCAGTCAAGGAGTTGACTGAGAAGGGCTTGCTTCCTCGCTCTAGAGTCTGTGGCAAGTCTAAAATTGGCACCCTGCATAAAAATTCATATATTGTCCCTGTCAAAGTGAGACAAGGCAAACATTTTCTTTCTTTTTTTTTAATCATAAACTCATCCAGGTGGGGCATTACAGTTGGAGGCGGGCTTTTTTTTAATTGGACACCAAAGCTGCAGTTAACTTTTAGACATTCTTATTTACTAGATATGAAATGCAGTATGGATACTAATTTCGTCCTTTTTTGTCGACCATTAATGAGATTGTCGCTCAGCAGAAAGTAACATTCTTTTTTTTCCACTTTTCAAAAGTTAGAGCAGGTTGAACCATGATTTAAACAATTAAATAAAGCTGGTCTAAGCAGTTTGTGACTGAAGTAGATTAGGCCTTTCAATTTTTATCAGTTGGTTTACAAATTTTTGGGCTTAAATTCAATGCAGGTGGTTGAAAAAAATATTTTTTATAATTTGAACTTTCAGATTAGTACTGCTACTAATGAATGAAAAACATGTAGGTCCTACCATCAAAGAAGAACAGTTGTGAAACGATACTGAAAGATAATTGACTGGGTATTTTTTTGTTAGAATAAAGATTTGTATACATATTATTCACTATTTCTTACAAACAGTGGTGATAAAATCTCACATTATTTTCATTTCACCTAATTGTAAACAGAACCCCCCTCCCCTACACCAAAAAAAAAAGAAAATAAAATTGGCAAAAGTCATTTTATTCTATTTCTTATTTCAGTGGAAAATGTCACTAAATTTTGTTAAGGCCTTATCAAGCTGGATTTTGCAGACTGTATTGTGTCAATTGTTGAAACAAGCCCATCTTTTTGCATGTAAAGGGTTGACTGGTCTAAAATAACATTAAAAAAATTGTTTTCCCTTTTAAGTGATTTTTTGTTTTTAAAGGTGTTTGTACAAACAAGATGTTATTAAAACTGTTACAGTCACCTATCACATCAAAATTAGAGCTTTTACTCTGATATGGTACCCCTCTGTGTGAAGATGAGAGGACACCTCCATAGAAGGAACCCTGAACTTGGACCACCCAATCTAAATGAGCGAGTGAGTATATGATTATGGTTTTACGCCGCTTTTAGCAATATTCCAGCAATATCATGCTGGGGGACACCAGGAAAGGGCTTCACACAGTGTACCCATGTCGGCAATCAAACCCGGGTCATTGGCGTGACAAGCAAACGTTTTAACCACAAGGCTCCCCCACCGCCCCTCCCATGTAAAGGAAGGATGCATGGGTTCTTGAGCCTATCAACTTTCTAAAATGATAAGGCTTCATTTCTTGACCACCTTGATTTAGAAATTTAGCCACAGAACACAAATATACTCTCGACGGTACACCCTATTGGGTGACAGTGCCAAGGCACTGAGAAGCAACGGATGAATAGATTATCCTAACAATTCATTATTGTGCAATTAGAACTCCACGATTATATTCCTTTTCGAGATACAGGGATCAGATAGCTTCACTGATTGTACAGATAATTTAGAAGCCTCGAAGCTGATTTCACCTTATGTGAAGTGAGTGAGTTTGCTTTTAGCAATATTCCAGCAATATCACGGTGGGGGACACAAGAAATGGGCTTCACACATTGTACCCATGTCGGGAATCGAACCCAGGTCTTCGGCGTGACAAGCGAACGCTTTAACCACTAGGCTACCCGACAGCCCCTCCTAAAGTGAAGAATGGCATTGGATCGCAGTAAAATATCTGAATTTAATGCAATTGTGAACTGTAGCTGTTATATGCAGTGATAATACATTCTTGTCAGTAACATAATATAGACAAAAATACTGTCAAAACAGCAGATGAACTAGTGGCCTAATATTTGTTTATGTAACTTAAATAAGACGGGGGGAAAGATGGCATTGGACCTAGTGGAACCTCGCAATGCCTAAGGGAAGTAAATGATAGACAACATGGAACACATGATAAAAGCACTCCAAAATAAACATACTGAATGCTAGATATGAACACAAAACATTCAACTAAGCACACTAAAAGATATGTTGAATTCATTGACAAAAGAAGCTCGAATTAAGTTCTGGTAAACAAAACTGTTAACCTCATACTTCACACCAACTATGCATGTCATCTCTGTTGATTAAGACTAAGGAATATGCCCTTATATATTTTCATAGGTGTTCTCCATTTTTAGCAGCATTTAGACAAGCAATATGTTATATGGTAAAATATGGAAATAAAATAATGATAAGCTGGTATCGAGAGCATTTGATTTGCAAAATTAAGTTTTTTTATTTTCAAAATAAACTATTTCAATTAGATATTAACAAAAACATTAAATTTAAGTGGCAAGGTGTGGGAAATTAGGGCCACCTATCACATTGCTAATACGCAGACATATGTTTTCAGGAACTGTCATGGCATGCTTTCACAAAAATATAATACCTCTCTGGAATCTCAATATAAAAGATGAACTTGAAAATTTTGATCCCAGTTTATCTGATGTGGAAAACAAGTTGTCTAGGATATGAAACCAAATGATCAATGTTGCTTTGGTAATCAGAAAATTGACATAAATCAAACTCAAATTAAAAGTTTTCACACAAATTCCTCAAAGGGAATGAATGAGTGCAGTCATCTTTCAACACCAATCATCTGTCAGGTCAGTTTGGTACTGGCTGATAGCTAATCTATGAAGACATACAGGAAACTGGCGCAAAGTTCACCGATGGATCCAGGACTTCCCAAAGGAGGGGCTAAAATTATGAATTCATAACTTCAATGGCGGTGTGCGTTCAAATTATGAAATCTTGAGAAAATCTGGGTCAAAATTTATAACATATTTAAATAATCAAAGGTATCATACATTTCATGTCCCTGGGGTCCATGTGATCTTTTTCAAAACACAATCCACAACTGGAACCCTATGCCCTCCTCCCACCCTGGATCCCCCACACAAACCAGCTTGCATTTAAAGTGCTAGACCAGCAGGTCCCAGTTTCACAAAGCCAATAGTTTAACATAGACAGTTGTAGAAACGATGATCACTCTGTGAAACAGGGCTGTGTGTCTATGGTACTTTAAGTCACTATCATAGATACACAAACTCGGAAGATATAAATCTACATAGCTTAACATAAAGACAAAGAAAGGCATTAAGTGATGACAGTCATGCCAGGATAGAAGTATTTGTATATCTAACTGAATCAATGATTATCCAGGGTATAATATCTCCATTCTCTCATAAATACTCTCGACCCATTCTATCATACCTTCTTTTTGAGTCCAATTCAAATAACACAACAGTAACGATACCAATCAAATTGAATTACACTCGTGCAAGGACAATTCTGTGGAAAGTTATTGAAAAGAGATATCAAGATGGTGAAATCACTTCCAATACAAAGCTAAGGTGGTGAACGAGTCAAGGGTATTTATCATAACAGAATGGACCATATTTCCCTTGACAATCAAGGATGGGTCTAACCTACCAGTCTCCCTGAACGTCCAGTTATAGCCTGGAGGTACAGTGTTGCATCTGATGTGATTCTTGTTTGATACCTCTTGGTAAACATTGGCTCCTTAATCTTCCTTTTCAACTTGAACAAATTCCAGTAGAGTGAGTGAGTATGGTTTTATGCCACTCTTGGCAATATTCCACCAATATCACTGCAGGGGACACACATTGTACCCATTTGGGGAATCGAACACAGGTCTTCGGCGTGACGAGCGAACGCTTCAACCCCTAGGCTACCCACCACCCCAATTCAAATAAAAGTTCAAGAAGCATCCTTATAACCAAAAATCGGGAGGTGTATTTATGAGCACATGCAGACTGTTAACACCACCATTGGAATTGCTGGTGCTAAACAGTGACTAAATTTTAAAGAAGCTCCAAAGATAAATACTGCAGGTTTTTGTTGTTAATTGGAAGGTGGACCAATTAAGTCACAAATGTGGTCGTAAATAGGGGTAAAAGGGCATTGACAAATCCTTTCTCTTTCAGTCTTGTTTTATCAATATGTCCTTCATGACACCCTAGCCATTGATCTCACAGTTTCTTCTTGACCAGTAAAGCAAATATTTTTCTTGAAAGGTCTTAGATAATTTTGAGCATTCTCATCTCTGAACCTTGCACAATCAATGAAAATATTCATCACAAAGGAAACGCCATTGTTTTTACCAAGTTTGTGTTTTTTCACAATTCAAACCTAACTTACTGCATATATTATCCCACCTGATTAAAATTTTGCATGATTTAGTTCATTTTTGCATTGCCGGTGGTTCTCCAATGTTATTAAATGACACTGCACAAAGTCTTGATAAATAAGCATCAACTTCACCACAAAGGTCTCCAGATGCAACACTGGCGACGTCTCCAAGGCTCCAGGGATGCCAGCAATGTTAGCATGTCAATGTCAATGTCAATGTCCTGTCTATCTAAGTGCAAAAATTTTGACCCATCAACCAAGAATTGTATAATATAAAAAGCAAGAATCAACTATTATTGAATATGTATATCTATTTTGAAAAATGTTTCTACTATCTACTATGCACTACGTGTCAAATTGAGAACTGAGAATATTTCAAACATACTGCCATATCTAACAGTGAATAACTATCCTAGCTATGCTTGCTGATGTTGCATCTTCTGAATGAAGTATTCAGTGAGCTCCAACCTCAGGTCGTATTTTGCTCATTTTTCGTTTACAAAAAGCTTTCCAACATTAAAATGTAAGCGTTGTCATCAGAATATATGCAGGAATAATTTGTGATGGGTCATAATCTTAAATAGGTATGAAGCTACTATGATTCAAATTCGAACACAAGTTGTGTCAATCTAATAGTAACCATGGATATACAATCACCACGGTAACCATATAAAATTAAATAATCAACCAACAGGTAAAAATGCATCTAACATTTCTTAAATAAATTTTCTCACAAAAAACAACAACTAACTCCCAAACATATTCACTCATCAACTGTAGATCACCCATATGTACACACCATTATCTGTACCTTGTAACAGGTAGAAACTTCAAAACAACAACTATTATTATACTGAAGCATTGTACACAACTGCTGGCACAAGACACACATGTGTGATTATGTGGTGGTCAAGCACACTTCACTCAAGCTGTGGAAACATGACCGTGTTCTAGATGCGACCTGATCACTACAAATAACGGCATCCAGGAATGGCCATCCAGATCTCACCTGCTCATAATACTGATAACAAAATGTTTACCAGGTTAGAAAAATGAATTTATTTTTTTTGGCCTCAAAAAGGATCTGCTACTGTTGCTACATAATGGTAACAGAGGTACTCCTCACAGAAATTTTCTTTCTTAATTTTACCAGTTTTAGACAATCATGTTATTTTTGAAGCCTGTTTCCTTTATGTCTTTGGTCCTAGGAGACTGAACTTGACATCACCTTAGTAAAATCTCCATTGAGGACAAGAATAGGAGGTTTCATGCACTGTACCCATGTTTGGATGCAACCACTTGGCTATATCTCTGAGAATGACGTCCCTAGGCCCCAATAATCATGGCATTAACTCCTGTTCGCATAAGTTATCCTTATATAAACATACCCTGCAACCAGCTTGTTGCCATGGTTAAAAGTTCAGATAATTCACATTAGGTGACATGTTTTAGAAAAACTGTCACAAATTGATTACCAATGCCGAGGATGCCAACAATGTCACTCACAGCAGCAGGAATATCAGTAACTTGAACTCTTCTTTGAAAAGAAGACACTTTACTGTCATAAATTCCTTGCTCATAACAGCAATAGTACGAGACCAAAAGTTTTCATGATGAAAACAACCCTCTTCCTTGACTTCTATTTCTATTGATAAGGGTGAGAGAGTATGGTTTTACACTGCTTTTGGCAATACTACAGCAGTAACACAGTTTGAAAAGAAAACATTTTACTGTTCAGGAAATCTTCCTTGCTCATAACTGCAATGGTACGAGACCAATAGTTTTCATTATGAAAAAAACCCTCTGCCCTGACTTCTATGTCTATTGATAAAAGTGAGTGAGTACGGTTTTACACTACTTTTGGCAATACTACAGCAGCAAGACAGTTGGGGACAGCAGAAAATGTACCCATGTGGGAATCAAACCCAGGCCTTTGGTACGGTGAACGTATGCTTTATAACCACTAGGCTACCCCACCACCCCATACTGACAACAACAAATCTGTATTCAATATGTGCATATGACTATGACAGTCCCCAGCTTCAAAGAGCTACCAAAACACGGCCATGCTTCCATTCTAACTCAATGTGTAATACCTCACCTCAGCACAAAAGTGACAGTTTGCTTGTAAATTCATTACACATCATTACCATGGCAAAGTAAAACACTATTGTGCTGATATTTAACGCTCACATGTTAGAAATACACCCATTATATTATTTCATGAAATGGTAATGTTACAAAAAGATTGCTATCATATTCTCATCCTAGCTGTTCCTTATGTACATGTTTCTCTGCGGACCGTGGCCCCTCCACATGCTTATGATATGGAAAAGTTGTCAAGCATTGCATGAAGATACTGACCACAATGCAGCCAAGCATACATACACACATGGAAATATACAGATACAAATGTCAGTAAACACTCACACTTGCAAACACACACCCTGTACACACCTGCAATTACCCACAAGCATACACTTATTTCACCTAACCGACTGATAAGTTTCTTCCATTAATCTCTTATCAAAGCAGAGGCACTTGGCAAAAAAATTAGTAAAACACTTTCAAAGTTTCTGATCAGGGATGCAACTTGACATAACACACTAACTAGCTCTAATAGTAATAATATATAAGGACACCCCTAAAAGCCTGAATCTCTACTTTTGGATCCCTTTAGCATCAGACAAAAAGACTTGGCTAGTAAACTTGTATCACTGCTTGTGCTAAGATTGGCCTCTAGTGATATACTTTTACCAGGACGCTGTTGCACAAAATCATTGTAAATATTGTAACTCCTATGCTTCAACACTGATTTAGAATATTGCAACAACCTTGCACAATCTGCCCTTGAAGTCATCTAAATTCTTTAAGAATATGGAATTTCTTATCTAGTCCAATTAACATTTAAGTCCACATGTCTGAACTTTAATCATATTTTGTTAGTACATTATAATGTTACGGTATCATATGGCTTTTTATTAGCTGATCTTAGAAGACAGAACAGAATTTTACTAGACTCGGCTTCGGACTATTGGCTCAAGTCGCAGACTGTAGCATATGTGTGCAATTGCAACAACTTGCTTAGATGTAATGTGCCTGTATCTATCAGCTTTGTGAGTCCCATACAGAATCTAAGATGTGTTTACTGGTTCAATTAGACTTGAAGTAGAATGAGCACTGTTGGTGCCATCAATGTATTACCGGTATATATCTCAAACAATTCAACTGAGTTGCATTGTGAGTTACAGTTAATAACTTGCTTTGAAAAGAGGGTATTATATACAGAGTTATATTTCATGAGAAGAATCACATTTTGAAAATAATAACCTGACATGCCTACAACAATTTGTATTAATGAAATTTCATCAACCATTACACGTCAGTTCAAGTCCTAAGTAAATTATTTCACTGCTATATGACATTCTCTGATCGATATGACTGTGATAGTAACGCAGTGGGAATGTCTTACAAAGTGACACAGTCTCTTCTCATGCAAACACTCACACTCTCTCTATGCTACAAGATTATTTGTACAAAAACATCACAGCAAACCACCCTAGGTGTCTTTCTTTTCCTCAGACCTGAAACACAAAGAGACACAGTTGAGGCAGGAACATACACAGACACCAGTCTTACAGATACTGTTTCAAATAGTTTCCTGGCTGTTGGGACATGATAAGGGTGTACTGATCGATCAAACTATCCATACATTGCAACTGACCGACAGAAGACCATTATTGTCAATTCATAACATCCACAGTTAACAGATTTGTATTTAACGCCGCACTCAGCAATATTCCAGCTATATGACGGCAGCCTGTAAGTAATCAAATCTGGACCAGACAATCCAGTGATTGATATTCTGAGCCAAGACAAACAATCAACAAAGCCATCCAATCAATAATGTCGCCTCTTATGACAAGCACAGGTTGTGGGGGACCTATATTCTTACCATGATTCCGAATTGAATAACTCATGGAATAACCCCTACTGTACATGAACTGTGTGTGAACCATAACTTTGCCTGACATTGAAGCAATGTGTAGAGCAGATACCAAAAGGCTAGGGCACATGTTGCGCATAATGTCTAACAAGAAACATAAAATAGTGCTATGGCTCTGTAGCTCACCTAATTTGTTTTTGAATAAATACTGAAGATAAAACTAATATCAAACAATAGTTATCATTGTGTACAATTTTCCATAATCAGAGTATTATGTGTATTTTATATACTTATCCTGCATTACATACTGCCAGTTACTCTAACTGGAAATGAATGACGATCTGTCAGTGTCTTCAGTAACTCTTTTGCCAAACATGCCCACGTCTTCTATGGACACATCCCGGAGGAAATGGCTCGCGATGATAGTGGTAGAGCTGAATAGCACCCCTGCATGATGGACTGGATCAAACAGTTTCTGTAGAGAGCCATGGTTGAGGACAGGGCCTGTAACTCCTTATGATACCCATCAACCCCGGTATTGTGGATAGCTTCTGGCCTTGGGTGACAGCGCAGACAGTATTGATGGTGGACAGGTACGTAGGCATAGTACCACCCTTAAGGTGTTTCTTCGTTCTTAGGTGAAGCAATTAAGTCCGGCTTTGGCTGCTCTCCTTGAGTAACCCTTGGAGGTTAGTGCCTTCTGCATATGACCCAGGCATGAAGTTGGAACTGCTCTGGGGACGGATGGAGTGGGTGTGTGAGGGTCCTGCAGTAGATTGGACAAATCTGGGAGTTTTAGTGCTGGATGCCCGGTGACATGTAATAAGTCCAGGAACCAGGTCCTTGCAATGCAGCGCCAAAAGGATCAAGGACAGGTTGGTTGTTGAGTTGATCTTTTGGATCACCCTGAGTAGGAGCGCTGGTGGGGGTAATGCGTAGGCTCTGAGACCTTCCCAGTCTAAGGCTATGGCATCGATGGTCCAAAACTGAGGGTTCTGCATTGGAGACATGGACGTTGGCAACTGCGTAGTATTTCTTGTGGCAAACAGGTCAACGTTTGGCTGCCCCAAATGTTGGCACAGTAGACAGAAGCGCTCCGGTTGCAGCTTCCACTATGATGGGGATGGGCGTTCCGGCCTTGTTAGTGCATCGGCAAGGACATTTCTACATCTGAGGATGTTTCTTGCTCTGGCCTCCAAAGGAATCCTGTCTATTAGATGGTAATAACAGAAAGTCTTGTTTAAAATGGAGCTCAAGAGAGCCGTTGTGTTATCCGTGGCAATCAGCAGCTTGGCATTGATGAGCCCAATACTGTACTGCCAGGATGATGGCTTCTAGATCCAAGTTGTTGATGTGTCAGTGCTTTTCTTCTGGAGACAACAGCCCTGAGGCTGTCTGGTCCAAGAAGTGGGCTCCCCATCCCTGGAGTGAGGTTTTGGCGAACAGGTGATGGGACGCTTAGAACAAGGACATGCCATTTAAGGTGTTCAATGGGATTAGCCACCAGTCAAGGTATTGGAGAAGGCAGTCTGGCAACGTGATCAAAGTCCCATCTTCCTGGCTCTGTAGATAAGGCGCCAGAAACATGTTATAGGGGCTTGATATTGAGCCTCCTGTTGGCCTCAAGGTTCTGTGCCACTGTGAGGAGGCTTAGTAGCCACTGATGAACAGATTGAGGGCCGGCTAGTGTCATCTGGACATATGTGACAATCTTGTCCCATCGATCTGGTGGGAGGTGCAAGAGGCCACTGGTGGTATCGATTGGTGTTACTTCCGACTTCTCGGAGTTGAGTAACCAACTCAGTTGGTGGAACAAGCGCATTGTGAAATACTGTTGAGAAATGAGTTTTTGTCTCTCTAGGTGGTTCATGAGGCAGTCATCTTTGTATAGCATGAAGCTGATCCCCTCAGGTGTAGGTAGGCAAGAATCGGCTTCATAACGCGAGTGAACAACCACGGGGCTGCCAATTAGATTTGTTTGTTTGTTGTTTAACACAGCATGCAGCAATATTCCAGCTATATCACAGCGGTCTGTAAATAATTGAATCTGGACCAGACAATCGAGTATTTGACTTCATGAACATCAATCTACACGATTGGGATACAATGACATGCATCAACCAAGTCAGTGAGTCTGACAACCGATCCCGTTAGTCAAGCATGGGTTGCTGAAGACCTATTCTCTACCTGGATCTTCACGGGGAACGAATCTCGGCTACTTCCTGTGCGCTTGGTGGATAGGTACATGGAGGTAGGTGTCTTGGATGTCTAGGGAGATGACATAGTCGCCTTGAGTGATGGACTGATGTAGAAGCGGAAGCGTGGTCATCCTGTATCACGTTGGAATCTCTAAAAAGCGCTGACTGAACACCCTCATGTTGTGAATCATGCATAGTTTCCCTGAATTTTTCTTGGGGACCAAAAACAGGGGTCAGCTTTTGTGGGTCCAGTTCCTCTATGGCCTCCTTTTCCAGAAGAATGTTAGCCGTGTCGAACCCCCCCCTCTCCAGATCCAGAATCCCACGTTGAGGCGATCCATTTGAATACTTCATGATGGATGGGCAATAACATGGTCTTGTGCTTCTGGGATAGGTAGTCTGCCCATATGTTTAACTTGCCAGGTATGTGACATGCTTCTATTCTGCAACTCATCGAATCTACCCAGGCAAATAAATGCGTAACCTCTTTAAACAAAAGTTCTGATCTCGTGCTCCGCTACCAAAGTGGTATTGTCTGTGGCTATCAGTACTGATGAGTGGTGCAATAGATGTTCCCATGCTTTGATTGCTTTGACAACAGCTCTCATTTCCAGACAATTTATATGCATCTTCTTCTCTTGGACATTCCTTGAACTGTGACATCGTCCATATGAGAACCTGAACCTTCACCTGATGCAGCTGACCATGAGTTTTCTGGTCGTGTTCATCCAAGCCATGAGTGGACATAGCTGTAGTCTCCCTCTGTAGTTTAGATCTTGAGGTATTCACGATGCACAGCGGATAACGGACAAACAGGTCACTACATAAGCTCACTTGACTTACGATCAGGAGAGCAAAAACTAGCAACTACACCATAAAGCGGCTGTATATATTCAGCAGTGAATATGAGACTTTTCAGTGTTAAGAGTATCAAAATAACTATCAAAAATAAGAAGTAAATTGCATACTATTACAGTATGATTGTAATAATTTTGTAGAATTTTCCTATTCGGAATATTCTATAAGTAATACGTTACCACTGTTATACCGAGGCTGTTGTCTCCCACAACTGCTGCTATAGCGAAATCTACCACAGAGATCTCAATTACCTCATGCAGCACGTGCGTAGCCACCTAGCTGCCATGTGACACCCTTCACTCTTGTCTCCTGCGAGAGCAAGTGCTCGGGGGACGGACGGGCGGGCAGCAGCCCAGTGGTAACGTATTACTTATAGAATATTCCGAATAGGAAAATTCTACAAATTACATTAAGTAATACGTTACCACTGTTATACCGAGGCTGACTACCACAGTAGGCGGTGGGGAGCACCTACAACCCGAATCCTGACTGCTAGCGTTCCTTCCGACCAGCGGAAGTAAACACCAAGGCGGAAGCACTCGATGCGCATGCACCTAGCTAGGCGTTACCCTATAGGAATACCAAAGCACTGTCAAGCGCATACCGTAAGGCTCAATCGTCATTGCCAAAACGATTGGTGACTCCAAACGGCCCCACTGGATAGGTATTTCATCGCCGCAGCGGATGAGAACACTGTATCCGCGTGAGCTTAATCTTAGATCAGGTTAAACAGTCGAAAAGAGGGAAATTAATTTCATTCAGACCGTATATCCCAGAGCAAGCCTACTTAAAGTATGCATTAGGCGCGTGACCTAATTCCAGTATTTGTAAGCATGCATCACAAGGTTGGGATACACGACAGACAATTAAAGACATAATTGTCAAAATACAAATAAGGACAAAGCACACAAAAAGCCGCCCTCACCTGTGGTGTGAGTGCGCTGGTTTGCGGGACCCCAACTCCTGTACCCACGGCAGTGGGAACATTGGAGTAGACCCAGATTGACCACCGTGCAAGGTCAGACGCCTGAGGAGTTCGGAATTGCGCTGGGCACACCCCTTAGGTGCCCGCTTGCGCCGCGATCCGCGGGCCAAGACGGTGCACACTCTCCACGACGGCATCAGCGACCTGTTTGAGGTAATGATTGGCAAAAACCGAGTCAGAACGCCAGTAACAACCTCGTAATATTCTGCGAACAGAGATATTCGAGTGTAGGGCAAATGTTGCCGCTAGCGCCCTGATCTCGTGCGGGTTTGACCCCGCTACCGGTAACCCCCGAGACCGGTACGCCAGATTGATGACAGAACGAAGCCACAACGCAATCGAGTTGCGAGGTATGTCAACCGTGCGATTAGGGTTACACGATATGAACAGACGGTCACGCCCTTGTCTACGTTCATTCGAAGCCTTAAGATAATACTTAAGGGCCCTAACCGGACACAGCGCTCTGTCCTCAGTATCAGCAGGATGTAAGATTTCTTTGAGTGATCTTACAGTGAATTCTCTCTCAGTTTGCCCGACTCTCTGATTCTTGGCGACGAAGCCCATGAGCAGGCCCAGGCGGACCGCTCCTTCGTCACCCCTATCGAATCGTACCTTGGCGACATCGAGTGCATGAATTTCGGATACACGTGCCGCCGTGGCAAAGGAGAGGAGAAATGCTGTTTTCCAAGTCACATGCCGGAACGAAGCACTATGCAAGGGTTCATACGGAGCTTCCGTAAGTGATTGCAACACTAGGGAAAGATCCCAGGCCGGTGCCCGAAGGCGGCCCTTCTTAAGATCGTGCTGTTTGAAACCCTTGATAATACCCCGTATCACCGGCTCTTTGGAGAGACTGGTACCCATAGCAACGTCCCGTACCGTAGCAACGGACGAGACATAGTTGGCAATGGAACCCCCGGAGAGTTTCCGGGTCTCTCGCAAGTGAGACATGAAACGAGCAATATCCTGCACAGATACCTTATCTGGCGAATGAATGTGATGTTTACAACACCACTTCGTGAAAATAACCCAACGTGCATTATACACCTTCTGGGTAGAATCACGATGCATACTAACGTATGCCCGAGACGCCCGGCGAGAAAAAACTTTACTCCTCAGACGCTCGGTGACAACATCCACGCGTGCAGATTGAACTGCCCTGCGTTTGGATGAAGCTGACGGGTGTGAGGGTGGATCAAGAGATCCGGTCTCACAGGCAGTGGAAGTGGCGACTGCGTGACCTGGGTCAGCAAGTCGGGGTACCACGATCTGTTCGGCCACATGGGCGCGATCAGTAACATTCGACAGCGAACTCCTCGGAGCCGGCTTAGAATGTGTGGTATCAACGCTGTCAGCGGGTAAGCATAAGCGACCAAGCCCGTCCAGTCTAACGCGAGAGCATCGTGATCGATGGCCCTCGGGACCGGGACTGGTGATACAAACAACGGGAGTTGATTGTTGAACCGCGTTGCGAACAGGTCGACCATCGGACGACCCAAACGTTCGCACAGCCACTGAAACACTACTGGGTTCAGCATCCACTCTGTGGGGCTCGGATCCTGAGGCCTCGATAGAGCATCGGCCAGTACGTTCCGCACACCTGGGATGTGACGGGCGCGTATCTGGCACGGGACACTGTCCACCAGAGCGTAAAACTCGAACGTGAGATCGAGTAGCGAGTGACTGTGGGTTCCCCCCAGTTTGTTCACATAGGACACTACCGTCGTGTTGTCGGTCGCCAGCATGAGCCGGGCGTCGACGAGACGATGCTTCCAGTGATTGACTGCGTTGATCACTGCCTTGAACTCGAGACAAGTGATGTGAAGACCTAGTTCGTCTAAGCACCACAGCCCCGAGCTCACCTCCCCCTTTAGATGGGCGCCCCAGCCCACTAGAGAGGCGTCTGTATACAGGGTCAACGTGGCCCGGTAGGGCCGCATAGAGACTCCTGATAAGACAATGTAAGGGACCGTCCACCACTCCAGATGCGGTCGGAGCCGATCCGGGAGGGCGACGGTCGCACTGTTCACCTCCGTTGCTAACAACTGGATTAAAAACCGTTGCAGCGGGCGGAGTTGGAGACGACCCCGTGCGGTGCAGTCCTGGGCTGATACAAGTAGCCCTAACAGCTGTTCCCAAAAGGGAACAGTCTGTTGCACCGCTAAGACTTTGGCAATCATCGCCTGAATTTTGTGCCACCGGTCTGGGGGGACAAAGAGGCGATGGGACACCGTGTTGAACCGACCTCCGATGAACAGCAAGTTCTGAGAAGGGGTTAACTCGCTCTTGGGGAGATTGATAATCCACCCAAATTGCTCCAAGAGCCGACGTGCGAAATCGAGATGGCGTGACAGGGTGTCCGTCATTCGATTTGCTACTAGCGAGTCGTCCAGGTACGCGAAGTACCGGACACCCCTCCTGTGGAGGAACCCCACTATGGGGGTGGTTAACCGGGTGAACAGCCAGGGAGCGGACGTGTGAATCATTCTGAGTTCGGCACTGTCCTACTTGGGAACGAGAAATATCCTGGAGTAAAACCCCGGTGTTATTTCTGGTAGAGCTAACTCCCGTACTGCCCCTTCTCCACCAACCTGCCGATGGCATCGGCGAGGATGGGAAGATCGGTTTCCGAATCGAAACCTGCCAACGGGGCAACGGTGAGCGGCGGATTCGCTTTGAGATCAAGCCGATAGCCGTACCGAATCGTGTTGACCACCCACGGGTCGTCGAACACTTGTTCCCAATTCTCCCAGTAAGTCTGGAGTCTGGCTCCCACTGGGGAAGGAGAGGGGGCCCTGACAGGTTGCGACAGGCGCAACTGTCCAGGGCCAAGTGACTCGGGTTCGCCTAAGGGCCAACCGAAGTTGGCGCTGTCGGCATACGAACCCCTCCAATGAGAGTCACCTGGAGGGGCCCTTGCCGTCCGTCGACGACTTGGGCTTCCCCCAGTTCCCCGTTTTCCTGCGAAAGGGCAGCTGATTGCCCATACCGGAGCCCTCAGGGCGGGGCTACTTCCCAGAGGAAGAAGAACCCGACCCCTTAGACCTACCGGCCGCAGCAGCCTGGGGCGCGCTCCGGTTAGGAGCGGCACCCAGGCGCCTATGCAGGGACCCAACAAGAGCAAGTGTGTGCCGAGAGTCCTCGGCAACGTACTCCAGGCAAGCATTTAAACTGAGCAGGCAGTTGTAAATGCGCTGGTCACGGTCCGTGGGAGAACCTTCGACCAGACGGGCCGCTGCAGCCAAGTAAGTGTCTCCGTGAGACATGGAGTGCCGAGCGAGGGCGTCCAGCTGGTGCAAGGTAGCTTGCGTTACCGTAGCAGCCGGTGGGTCACGGACACCCAACCGCTCAACATGGGCCTCCGCGGTAGGACCAGCCTCGGGAAAGGCAAGGTCATGTACCGGGAATAAACCCTTTCTCCACGACGTCGGAGGCAACGGGAGACCCCGACCGGAGGCCGCCGCGAAGGCGTTCTCCAAGGAAGGCTTGAAACCGCGCAGCAAGGTTGATGCGGGGAAAGCCGAGTCGGAAGACTCATCGTATACCTCGGAGGAACCCACAGTCGTGGATTCCCCGCGGTACCGGCCGGGGCATGTCCTCAAAGAGGTCATAAACCATGGCCACGCGGTCCTAAACCGATAGCGGGAGCAACGGTTCGGGGGAAGGACCGGTGACCACGGGAGCCGCCGCCGTACCGGTGGACCCCGCGTCCGACCCCGCGGCCACCGAAGTGGCCGGGGACGGAACAGCCAGCGGCCTATCCTGAGATAAGGCCGCCAGCTTGGAGTCCACAAGTTATGCAAGTAATGCAGCGACGGAATCCCCGGACAGCACACGGGCCGCCAAGAGATCCGCCGCTTTACCGGTGGACCCCGCGTCCGACCCCGCGGCCACCGAAGAGGCCGGGGACGGAACAGCCAGCGGCCTATCTTGCGATAAGGCCGCCAGCATGGAATCCACAAGTTTCGACAACAATGCGGCGACGGAATCCCCAGACAGCCCGAGGGCCGCAAGGGGATCCGCCGCAGCCGAGGAGGTGGTACCCGCACGGGGACCCCGACCGGACGAACCGGCCACCACAGGGGTGGAGACGGACTGTACGTACAGCCGGTACCGCTCAAAATCCGCAGGCCCCAGACCTTCGCACAGGATGCACCGGGTGTCCCCGCGAGGAACCCTGCACCGCGGGCAACGAACGTGGGGATCCCGGGACGACAAAAACTTTCTGCACACCCCATAACTCCGAGGAGCAGGGGTAGAGGGGGTGGATACTGGGGACATATCCATGTCAGACATTGATTGTTTGCTATAAACAAAGAACAAAACATGGTTACAACGCACGCACCACAATGATTCACAAACGAACATTTTCACAAGAAAATAAACGAGCAATGTGAACATATAACATACCATATAACTTTTATTAAAGAAATAAGTTATGTTAACCCCCAAAACATACAAGAACAGGGGAAACGTAAAACACAACGTGCATACGCGAACCCCGCAAGTATATAGAAAAAAGGGCGGGAAAAATTTTCCGTTTGGCGGGAAAATTATAACCAAGCGTAGCTACCGCAACGCCCCATAAAAGCACAGTTTATTAGATAATAAACTATAATAAATATCACCAAATCTTCAAGGAACGCTTCAGCAGGAGAAAACACGTCTTGCTAAGCAGACGAAGGAGACAAGAGTGAAGGGTGTCACATGGCAGCTAGGTGGCTACGCACGTGCTGCATGAGGTAATTGAGATCTCTGTGGTAGATTTCGCTATAGCAGCAGTTGTGGGAGACAACAGCCTCGGTATAACAGTGGTAACGTATTACTTAATGTAATTAAGTACACATGTGAATTATATGCACCACCTATTTTGGTCAGGTAAAATTTAGTTTTAGGTAAAAATGCTTTCTTATTTTCAGTGCACAGTAAAACAGGTCCTAGTTTTGCATCAGGTTAGGTCTTGGCTGGAGAGAGCAGGAGAGATCCCTTGCAGGCAGAATTTAGGTAGCCCAATACATCTTCATGTTTTCTCCTATATTGTTTGCATTGTAAAATGGCTCAACGTCAATGTATTTCAGAAACCTAACAACAGTGGCAGACATTACTTGGAGTGAAAAACAAGTATAGTATTCTGATGACAGAGAGATTCTTTTTGCCCACAACATTTCACTTCATATATCACTGATATATGGTTACACAATAATCTTTACAACATAACATGTAGAAATGACTAAAAGATTTAACATGAACACTTTCAGTCTCAGTACTGCCATTTGTCAGATGTAAGTAAGGTTATGCTAAGAACAAACTCCTAATCCCAGTACTTACATGTGAGTATTTTGGATTCCATTAACAGCTCGTTTCCGTGGCAATACAAATTTCTTGAGCAAAATGTAGACAACAGGCCATCCAAGGAAGACAACATGACCAATGTAGTATATTGATGCATAGACCTGCCAAAGACATTTGAATGGTTAGGACAAACTATTTAAAATGGTAAATTAAATTTGAATAATAAGAAACATCCTAAAATAGGTAATCACCCCATAAAGATATTGAAACAAATCCGGCTTACCAAAATTTGTGCAATGTTATTGCCCCATATTTTCAGGACATCCCTAATCTAAATAGCGAGTTCAATCTAGTGCAGCAGCTTGCCAGCTAACTATGGGAGAAAACCCAAACATGATGCAGACTTTTACTGTTTTGTTGAAATTCACAAGCACATTGGAACATCATCAGGAAATCTGGGAACAGTCAGTCAATGGATCCAGCCTTGAATAAGAGTTCCTAAGAGACATAACTCAACACTGGAAATCACACTACCTTTGACCCACGCCACTACCCCCTCGGGTTCATAATGTTAATTTCTATCAATAATGATTCCATCCTACAAATCATACACAATAAAACACATAACACATAACACAAAAAAACAAAATCACTTTCAGGGCTGGACATTCTGCTTTGAGCTCAAATGTGTAAGACCCAGGTACCCACAGGACTACCCGGACCCGTGGTCAGTCACGTGATATATTGTTTAACGACAATAACAAAGAAACTCCATGGTTACACTACAAGTTCCTAATGTTCACATTTCTTTCTGACTATCCACACATTCCTTCTGACTTTAATATTTAAAGTGAGTAAGTGAGTGAGTTGGTTTTCACGCTGCTTTTAACAGTATTTCAGTTATATCAAGGCGTGTCAGCTTAATGTGGGAGGAAAGCCCGAAGTGATGCAGGTTTTAGACGTTTACCACTTCGGTGAAACCAACGAGCACGGGTATGGTGCTGACAAACCTAGAAACAAAATTTGGGCGAACCGGGATTCGAACCCACAATCATAGGTTTCTGGCGTGCCCAAGGGACGCAACTCTTCACAGTGAATTGTGGTGCCTTAGACGACTGGGCCACCAGTGCCCCCTTAACATGTAAAGATAAAGCCATACAGTTTTTTTCCAAGGCCCTGGAAAAAACAATGCCCAATCTGACATTTTGTACCGAACTCTTGAGATCTACAGTGGATACCGATGTAGTGTTTGGTAATCGGGGATCGGTACCTGGGTAGTAAATATATATACTTATCCCAGCCCTAAAATCTATGGATTCCAAGAAAGCAAAGTCTAAACAGAATGAGTGAGTGAATAAATATATCATTGGCAATATCTCATAGGGACAAATATAAAAATAAAATGACAAATACTTGCCTTAGTCCATTTGGGTACAGTGAGAAGGCCAAAGCCAACAAGGGCGTAGGAGAGAGAGAAAGTGGTGATGATTTTGCTGACGCCCCACAAGACAATCTTGATGCTTGGTTGTTGCACCAAGCTCTTCAACTGGGGGCTCGCATCTACCAGACTCCCAAGCTACAACAGAAACACACACTTAAACTAATCTGTACTTGATATGCAGTTAAAACAAAAAACATTTCAAGAAGAAGGTATAGGGAATCAGAGTATTCCCCTTATTTATATACTTATCCTGACAAAACAGAATGCAATATTTCTTCTTGCTTCAATCATAGAACAGTGTCGAACAATATAGAACTTTCACCCGAACACACCATCCAACCACTTGATTCCCAGCATGCTCCTGTGCTACTCATCATCTTTTCATACAATCGTCCATAGACGGGTAACAAGTCCAATTCTACGAGGGGATGAAGGGGGGGGCAGTCATGGCCTGTTGTGTCAGGATAAGTTATAAGTAAGGGGAATAGTCTTGACTCCCAAAAGTATGCAAGTATCCCACAGTTGGATGGTGGGCTGGATCACTTGCATATTCCCTTTAGCAATTGTGTCCTGGCCATAGCATGGACTAGGCTCAGACTGTCACTTCGTCTTTAACCCATGGGTGTGTTTGACTTCAGTAGTCCCGTAACATGTCACCACCTAACTATGTTAGGCTGGGTCAGTAAATATGTTGCAACTGGAGGTACTCGGAATATTGGGAACTGTTGTTGCCCTCAAGATACTAAGTACCCTTGGTACTGAGTAAAGACAATCATTTGCATATTGCATGGCATAAGGTTGTTAAAAAAAGGTCATTCGAAATATTGATCTAAATTTGCTAATTCCTGTTGGCACCACAGCCATTACCAAGACAAGATGATAATGCCACCATTACCTGATTCTGTGTGTTGGTCATGAAGAACTCCAGCATGAAGCACATGTAGTAGCCAGTGTGAAGACCATGCCAGACAGCCAGGTACAGCAGAGTCACGCCCTGAGACACAAACTTGTTGCCCAGAAACCTTAACCGCTTGAATATGTATCTGAAGAGAAAGTACTTTTTGTAATTATCGTATTCATTGCTAATGTCTGCTGTAGCCATATGACAACTTATTAGAATGGAACTATCTACTGTCAATTATTTTGAGCAGCTACTTGTGAGAGTAAATTTGGAGATAAACAAGTTGCTTTTTCAGATTTGCAGATGTTACTGAGTATTTGATGTCCAGCTATCTTATTTGAGTGTTAGACAGAGGTTCAAAATTTCTGGTATTGAATACTCAACATCAACAAATCTAAAAACACAAATGGTGTATCAACACTGTTAATACAAAAGATTCCACTAATTTTCTGTAGAAACTCCCTCTATGTGACTTCTCACTGTTATGAGACACATTTTGGAAATGAGGAAGAAAAATTCTTATCAAGAAAAGTAGGTAGGTATCTGGAATGGGACTTACTTGGACATCCACATGTTAGTGTTGATATTGAAGGACTGTATCATCTGGTGGAATGTGACAGCACTCTCCAGCTTAGTGAGATTAACATTGGTACATCCGTCCCACTGGGCCTTCCCGTTCTCATCTTTCCCATTGTAGCTCAGACCAGATATTATAATGCTGCCTTCCTGAAAACATCAACACATCTTGAAATACCACATCACATAAAACAATTCCGAGACATATTGTCCCCAACAGCTATCAAACAATATTTATCATTATGTATAATTCTAGGAACACTACTTCTATTACATCCTAGCCAGGAAAGAAGTGACATTTTCCAGCCTCGCAGATGAATAATGTATTGTTTGATTGAGAGTTAAAACAGGAATTAATAGCTATGATGTAATAGAGGTGAGGTATTTAAAGGAATTATTGCTTTTAAGAAATTCATACATAAGAAAGAACCAGACACCTAAATAACCTACAGTGTACTTGTCAAGTCCTCGTCTCCAATAATTGAACCTAAAATCACTGATATCTTATCGATGCCATATTTTATAATGCTGTCAAATTTAAGGTCAAGTAAACTACACAACATAGGACTTGAAAATACAAAAGTACTGAAATGTGAAAAACAAAAACAAAAAACAAATGGATTTTCTTTTTTATTCTGCTGGCCACAAATGTCAAGGGTTAAAAAATCCAAATGGTTTACAATCACTATCAATGCAAATAATTTAAAATAGTGAGTGACCCACTAGGCTACAGAGGCGCTGATAATCCACATTAAAGTGAAGAATATTTTTTTCAAGAACATGTACTTCAGCAAGATATATTTTTTGTCTGCTCAAGAAAGTGTGTTGGAAACATACAATTGTTGATAAATGTTGTGTCAGACTTTTGTTTCGACACATAGGACAGATAAAACACTGTCCATCGGATTTGGTTTAAAATGTAAACATTCGGGGACGGTGATGAAAGGGTTATAGTTTGTCTGCATGTTGCACATGGTCTTACTGTAGCACACTTTTGTTGAATTCCGCTCCGCTATTGTTTCACTATAAGGTATCCTGATGTCTTTGGGGTTGTTTTTTCTGGTATTTCTTGAATTTAGAAAATCCCTCCCTTGCGAATTTACATCCTCAACCAAGCCCTGGGAATCGTGTTTTATCATTAACATACAGACCTGAATTTTCGGACAAAAAAAGCCTGGTCTGAATACCAGATAAATATCAAACCATTGTATGAGTATATACATCAGTACATGTTCAGCTTATTGCACTTCTTTATGGTGAGACAAAGGAAATATTACTTACTGCTAATAACCATGAACCGACATACTTCATGATAACAAGCTTCCCCCATATCAAAACATAGGCACATCTGGCGAGAAAATTAACATTCTGAAACAGAGAGCCAGGAAAGATTATATATCAGTCAAATGTTTGCACAATAGTAAATGCATTCAATACCAAACAATACCAAGTAATGTTGGGAGTAATGCCTTTTTATAGGTAACAGAGCAGAAGAGTTATCCCAATTTTGAAGATTGCAGATTCGTTGTGAAACATTCAAGCTGCATCACGTCAGTTTGCAAATAATCAAGTCTGTGGCAGACAAACCTGTGGTTAATACTTAGAAGTGTCCCACAGAGCCATTGTATGATGATACGCAATCTACCAAGGCACCAAGCCTGGTGCTGAAATTTGGATTAGAATAGGTCCTCTGCTGCTTGTCATGAGAGGCAACAAACCAGCTAGCCAACCATAACAAGCAGCTCCTCTCATGACAAGCTGCAGTGGACCTATTCTAATCGAAATCTCTACTGGGCAATCTATTATAAAATGACACTAAAAAATATCAGGAAATAACCTAAAATCACGTTATCGATCTTTCAAGTGCCCACCTTGAATAACTGGAAAACTGCTGATGCAGCGTAAAGCAACACCATTCATTCATTCATTCATTCATTCATTCATTCCAAGTGCGTACAGATTTGCTTAATCTTATTAGTTTGACAATGTCTGATCTTTATTTGGTGATGAGAAAAAGAAGTCATGTAAAGAACAAAAACTTACCTCAAAGTCTAGAGATAATAAATAATCATCTGGTACTAGCAGATTGCCAGTCTGAAAAATAACTATATACACCAGTCCTAGTAGCAGTCTCTGTACTCCAGGGTACACACTGAAACAGAAACAAATATAAGCGGGTGAGTGACATTTTAGTTTTAAGTATTCGCAGAAAGGTAAATCGCGGTGCACTTTGAAGTTTCTTCTTGTTTTACTTGTGTTTATTACAAGGATTATGAAAGGGGTGCTCAACTGACATGATAACTGAACTTCATTCACCTTGCCTAAATATGTGCTTACCGTGTCCAACACTAGAACCGTGATTACTGAACAAATCCCAGCATCACCATGGTCACCGCCCAAACAAATAGGTCATGCACTGTAATCCCATGCATCACGTAAATCCCCCTGCCACACCATTCTCTTTCATCAGAGCGCATATAACGAGTGAGATAGGATAGGTACATAAATATACAATTTAGAGTATAATTTTCAAATTCTTAAACTTTTACTATCTCACACTATGCATTAATCCCCTAGTTGGATGGTGGGGCACAGATACCCCAGCCAGTATAGACTATAACTGTAAGACGTACACAAGGAAGCAGATGCTAAACAGTGAAACAAATAAAATATCTAAAACACTGCCTAGTGTCGTAAAGACATGAACTTTTGAGTGGGAAAACACACCTAACTGATGATATGATACCGAAACGTTAGTCGGACTGAACAGCAAGAAATCAGGTAGAACATGCGGAACATGTTTTCAGGGTTTACATAGTTACATGCACGAACATGTAGCTGTAAAGAACAAACGATACAGCGAATGATTTTTAATCGATCCGGAAGGGGTCTCCAGTCAACAATTTTTCAAGACAGGACACAACACTATCTACCATAGTAGAAGGTTGATCAGAAGCAGTGGCATCTGTGTTCGCCACTGTCAACAGAGGAGCGCAGTTATCTTTGTCACCAAAAACAACACGCAAAGGAGCGTGTGACACAAAGCGGCTGGTAGTCTAGGATAGACTAGGTAACAAATGGTCTAGGAGTGGTAGAAGGGTCAACCAATGGTGTAGTTTCGGAAGGATTGACAGACAGAACCTTGCGAAACTCCATAGAAGTCGGCAGTGGACCCTGATTCTTCAGCAACGGACTGTTGATGAGGTAAAGTAGCAACGCCGTCTGTCAAGAAGCTGTCGGAAACACCATCAGACAGGGAAGATTCCGGAGGCGCTGCCACTGTAACAGAGTAGGGGACAGGTAGTTTGCTGGGCTTCTTCGACTTCTTGGTAGACGACTTGTGTTTGTCGGTGTCCTTCAATTTCTTGCTGGAGTCCTTGGATCCACTTCTTGTTGACACTTGTGAATTTATACATGAAATTATTTGTCAGAAATATGATCACATAAAAAGCTCCTCCTGTCAGAACTACACCGGTCTCAGCAATCGCAGCATAAATCATGAGGGTCTGATGTAGAAAAAGTATGCCTGCACTCCAGTCAGGCCGGGTGAAGAGGATCCCGCTCAGATGTACTACATTATCTCTACAATGTAGTAGGGAAATCCGTAATCCAGGATTACTGTGCATGACCCATTTGTTTGAGGCGGTGACCATGGTGATGTTGGGATGTGTTGCGGTGAATTGTATTTTAGAGGTTACGTTTCCATTATAGGATCAAAGAAGAAAGAAGAAATGTTATAGTGTGAGACAGGAAAAGTTTATTGCTACATTTGTATTGCAGATGCAAGATACGTTAAGGTCACCAAAGTTCAAGGCTACTACATCCCTGGCATCGATGCCAGCCCTGTACGATGAAGAAGTGTCATCTCTTGTTGCAGCAATGTCAACATTCCACTGCACGAAAGACATCCTGTACCGTTCTAGATCAGCCTATCGAAAGGACCTTGTCATACCTGACTCTCTCCAGGAAATAGACTCTGGAGAGTCCTAGTGCACCTAACGCACATCAGCGTAGTATATATACATCGTAACATATCATGTATGGATTTAATAAAACAAGGTGAATGAAATATATTTTCTGCTGTTGTCTACTTTTGACCCTACCCAAGCACAAGGCTTATCTTGCGAAAAAAAAATGTGTCGCTCATTGTTAAAGTCATTTGGACAGGGGAGAAATTCGCAGGAAGGCGACTTGTACAAGTGTACTATGTTGTTATATCTGTGAATGAACCAGGAGGTGATGATCATCTTAAAAAATTCAGTGTGTTCTAATATTGACAGAGAACACAACCAGCTGACAAAACAATTGTTCCATAGTCTTAAAATCCACATGAATTATTGGCACAATATTTCTGTTGGTTAATTTCTTTGCTTCATCACCTACCAAAAATTATTTGTCTTGTGACCAAAATTGTTCAAGAAGTGTAATGCTTAAAATCTACAATAGTCCATGCATAGTCAACATAATGCCAGTGTGAAAGCATGGCAACTGCTGAAAACAGAGTAAATGAACATTTGCCTACCTATCGGGAGGCTCCTCTTTCGTTTTTTGAAAAGCACCGTCTATAAAGTTGAGGTATCTCCGCATAGAAAACTGAAACAAATTCAAGATGGATAACCTTTAGTGACCACATTGTGTTAGCTGCTTAAATCGGAAAACAAAAATACATGTGATATTTTGATATTTTTAGAGCAGCCAAGATGTTTTTTTTCGAGGGAATGGCCAGTTCAAATATACATATAGTTGTTGAGGGCTTCAAAACACCAGTACCTTTTTTCAAGATGACAGCCAGACCAATTTACACTTACCTGTTGGCCAATTCATAAGCTGGTTAATATTTAGTTCTCAAATCTTCTTAAATAAGATCATATTGATATCATTTGGAACTTGTGATTGGAAAACTGAGATCAAGTTACCAATTCTTTGGTTTACAAAAAATGGAATATGTGTTACAAGGCAATATGTGTAATCCAGGACTGGCTATCCTCTCAGAAATACATGTTGGTATTTCAAAGGCTGTCAAAGAAGTGCAAATATTTCCAGATTGGCCATGGAACAGATGAGGATAAACAATGAGCTATGAGGAATTTCAGATTTCTCTGTCCCAAGTGAATGAATGATGGTAATCCCAAGCCTTTGGTGAGGGACTTAAAGCATTCATTCACAAGAGACAGATAATCCGTAATTCTGAGTTTGGAGTAGGTTATTCTATATATTACAAATGAAGAGAAAATGAAGACAAAACATATCTAATGTGAACCCTATAGAGTATTACTAAAGGCACCTTATTTTTTTAGATGACATAATGTAATCAGTTTGGAAGGTCCTGAATACTGGATGACGTCATATCATATTTTTCTCAACAATGAAGCACTGTGATGTCATATTGCTTCATTTGACCAATCACCATAAAGAATTGCCAAAAGGCACATGTACAAGTTTTGGAATGTAACTACACATGACTATTTTACCCTTATGGATAATATTACATCATTCAAGACTTACTTGTGGTCCTATGAGGAATCCTCCAAAATAGTAACAATGACCAAACATTTCTAACAATGATGGTGTTTTTTCTAACGCTGTCTGTGATTGGTCAGGTGTCAACTCCGCCTGAAACATCAACATGATTTATTTGTCAATAACAATACACATAAAGCTCGGTGTTCATCAAGCAGGTCAGTGTGAGGCAAAGTAAAGTGATAGATATCATGAATGTGAGTATTCAGCTAACTGCTAACATACCGTATTTGACGTAATAAGCGCCCCGTTCTAAAAAGTGCCCACAGCGATATTTGCTAATTTATTGGCTAGTGAACAATCCAAATTAGCTCCTCTCACAAGACTTATTTATTTGTGTATAATACGCACTCGTGTGTTATATGCACCCCATATCATGGGCAATTAAATTCTGGGAAAATATATCTGTCGTGTCTAATACGCACAGACTTTTCTTTTGTATCATATCAGGCTGTCAGCATAAAGGTTCAAAGGTAACTCCTCAGGGATTTGATAGAGTTACAACAAATTACTGCTATAACAAACTCAAAGACACCACTGATTTTAGTTCGATATAACCGTAGTTTGTTATAAGCATACATACAGCATATACATATACAGAAAATGGCCAGGATAAAAAAATATGTTTGTATATACCATGAGCATGTCGGTTCGATATAAACGTGCTCAATATAAACATAGTTTACTGTAGTTTGGTTTAATGCCGCTTTCAACAGTATTTCAATCATATCATGATATGTCAGCTTGATGTGAGAGGAAGCCCCAAATGATGCAGGCCTTAAGATGCTGACTACTTCGGTGAAGCCCATGAGCACTGGTATGGTGCTGACAAACCTAGAAACATCATGAGGGCGAATCTTGGATTCAAACCAATGACAGTAAGTTTCTAGCATGTCAAAGGGATGTAACTCTGCACAATGAAATGTGGGACCTAAGATGACCCATGACTAAGTTTTTTAGGAAAGTGGAAGTAAAATAAAACAAGAAATGTGTTTTCATTATATGCAAAAAAACAGAAGCAGTTCTCCCCGATCTCTTCCTGAATGACCGAGAAACTTTCCGATAAGAAATAAAGTCAGGTGACATTTGACCTTACCAGTGAATTACAACTTTGAAACAGACAAGCACATGCCTCTAGCTACCTTTAAAACAAAGTGAAAACACACTTCAGGTTTAATAATATCACTTCCTGCTCCGGGCAAAAATATGCCCAATGCAGAACAACTCTAAAATAAAAAATCCTATGACTCTAGCTACCTTCATTACAAAGTTATATGTATTTCCCGTTTAATGACCTTGACCCTCAATCTCAGCCATGAACTACCTAGAGATCATCTAAATAAAGTTTCATCAAATTAAATGATGTGTACACAAGAATTTTGAGATGTCTACTTTACATCACTACTTGACCTGCAAAGTCATACAATCACATGCAAGAACATTACTTGTTGCAATCTTAGGTGGTTTTACAAATATGAAGTCTCCATACCATGATAACAAATCTTCCTGTATGAAACTATTTATAAGTCATTTTATGAGTAAATGGCCTTCAAAACAACCTTAAAATCTGACACAACCATGACAAATAACAGCTATTGAGTTATTTATTGTAAGTCTATCTTAAATGATTGGAAAATGCACTTTTTTTTTATGAATTAATCCAAAATTCCATGAAATCTGAACAATACTTCTTGTGACCTATACCTAACACAGAAGTCAACCAAACGTTGATGCTATAGAGACCCCATTGTAGAGTGAGTGAGTTGGGTTTAACACCGCTTTTGACAGTATTCCAGTTATATCATGGCGTGTCAGCTTAATGTAGGAGGAAAGCCCGAAGTGATGCAGGTCTCAGACGTTTACCACTTCGGTGAAACCCATGAGCACGGCTATGGTGCTGACAAACCTAGAAACATAATCGGGATTAAGGGAAAGGGACTCAACTCTGCGCCAGCAAATCGTGGCGCCTTAGACGACCGGGCCACCCTGATCTTCCCAGATCACCAAATAATAATAAAACCACACTCTGTGCAAACTGACATCTGATTCCTTCTTTTGTTTAGTCATGTCCAATGACCCTGTTTGCAGGGGAGCTATTTTACACAATAGGAATGGGGGCAGCCTCACCTTCCTCTGTTTCCTGTGTCCATCATAGACATCAAATATAACACTTGTAAGGCGGAGTGTCAGCACACAGTGGGGCATGGTCCACATGATCTGGTAGTCATCCGTTTCCACCTTGTAATACCCAGCCATCAGGTAAAACTGTAACCATAGCAACAAGCATCCCAATTAAACGTTTATCTCAACACTTTACATCATGAAAAATAGTAAAAGGTCTTTCCAGACTTTGAAGTTGCTCCATGTCATTGTGTTCATTTCTTGTGTATACTGTATCTAAACGTTGTAATTTCTGATGTGGAGTGAAATGGGGTTAAACATTGCATTCAAGATTATTGCACTTACATGAACATGTGTGTTTGGCTGCCCATACTAGCCCAGACTTAAACCGGTTTGAAAGTGCCAGACCACTGAGACACCGTTCCACAGTTTTACCTGGACACCCCCTCAGACACAGTATACTGACTGACCAGTCCTTGTTTTATCCCCTCAATTCCGAATGCCAGTCAGGGTACCAACAAGAACCATCTTTTTACGTCTTTTGGTATGATGCAGGCTGCCAACCTTTCACTCTCCAGGCAGACACCCTATTTTATTCAGTGCAATGTGTAGAACTAAGATATTTTACCTTGGAAACAGGAAACAATTACCAGCCTAACAGCGCCTCCTGCAGTAATATTTGCAGTGAACCTTGCAGGCTCAATTTCATTACCCCATATATTGCATTGGCCCAAGATATGGTCTGATGATTTCTGCTTGTCTCAAACTACATATAACTCTATAAGGGTTTTCCTGAGGACTTCGATTTATGAGTTTATTTCACACTGCACTGAGCAATATTCAAGCTACATGCCAGCAACCTGTATGCAATTGAGTCACGATCAAACAAACCAGTGATCGATGTTATGAGCAATGTCCAACACCATCAACCACATCACTGAACCTGACCCCCCAATGTGTTCGCCTGTTATGACAAGAATATGTTGCCGAGAACCTATTCTAACCCAGAATCCCCAGTGGGGTCGAGTTTAGAGGATTTTACTATCTGAATATTGATAAATCCAATGGTAACATAACTTCTCAACTATGACCATGACACACTGTAGAATAACATTGGTAAAAAAACTTTTTAACAAGTTTACATATTTAATTTCAAACTCTGGGTATTCTTCTAATGTAAATCAATACCCCATAATCACTGAATTGACATCTACTCACTGTGTTGAAAACGAAAGCCAAGGCCACAGACAGCGCTGTTCCCGGGATGAGGCAGAGGATGACATAGTCGACCAGGATATTGACAAGCGAGTGTGAGACAGCATCACCTGCAACAAACAGAACAATATGTTTGTCAAAACTCATACACAGATATTATGGACATTTCCATTAGTGGTAGGATAATACACTAATGCATCGGTGGATTGCAATTTTTTACTTTTCAAGTTACACACTAAGTAAAAGGTATCGATTCTTACCTTAAATGTATTCTTTAATAAATGTTAAACCAAACACTATTTACTAGTGAAAATGACTAGTGAGAACGTAAATAATTTCATCCATTGCACCATACTTGTCACTGCTAACTGTAAATTGTTAGTATGCCAGGTATTTGGCCATCCTGTCTATGAAAAAGATGGCTTAAACACCACAGATAAGAGCACATGCAAGTATTGTGGTACATTTCGGAATGTGAGCAAGTGTAACTTTGTGATCAGCACTTTTTTTAATGTCAATTATTTTTTCCAACATAAACAGGAGATGCTCAATTGATTTTTTTTATATATATACACTAAAAGTAATAAACTGTTCTTTCGAGGGTTTATTATAGTCTGCAAGAAATGAAACCATTCATATTTTCTCCTACATCAAGTTTGATGAATAATTACAACTCTAGCATCTCCAATACTCACCGAAATTGAAGTAACAGAGAACAAGGCCACAGACAGTGAAGAAGATGTGTTTGACCGGAGCAGGCTGAAGGATGATCCAGTGCCGATACAGGAAGGCCAGGGGGTAGCCTGCAAATAACAATGACACTTTGTACCCAGAGTACCAGCACTGTAGCATGTCCACTTGAAGTGAGCAATGGTTTACTCCAGCCATATCAAAGAGTGGTACCACTGAAGGAGTTCTCATATAGAGAACTGAACCCAGACCTTTATGTCTCTACCACACCACACCCAAAATTGAAGAGAGGTAGAATTTCGAAGCTAAGAGAGCATCCTTTCAAATTTCAGGGGGATGCTGGGATTTTGATTTGAGTGAGTGAGTGAGTATTGTTTTATGCCGCTTTTAGCAATATTCCAGCAATATCACGGCGGGGGACACCAGAAATGGGCTTCACACATTGTACCCATGTCCGGAATCGAACCAGGGTCTTCGGCGTGACGAGCGAACGCTTTAACCACTAGGCTACCCGACCTCCCCGATTTTGATATGAGATCAGCATACTTTTTTTCAATAATTAGGAGTTTTTATTTTTTCCCAACTTAAACAGGTGCTCATTCTTTTTTTCAACACAATTGGGATACTTTAACACAGTCTGCAAGTCTGCAAGTCTGCAAGAAAAGGTTACAATATTATTTTTCCAACAATGCAAGGCATATGTTAAAGAAATTAATAAAAACAGGGGGGTTGATCATTTTTTTTAGAAAAAACCTTGTGCAATTTCCCACTGATTAGACAGCACTGGTGCAGGTTAAAATCATATTGTGCATTTAAGTTTATAAATAAGCAGACTGCATGAAGAGCAGTCAGTAAAACATTCCACAAACAGGAAAATAAATATGACTTCTTTCAATGATACATTATGTAAAAAAGATCTAAACTAATTGAAATAAAATTACTTTCATTTCACGCGTTGTACATGTTTACTTCCTGTTTGTGTACAGCACAGACCACCAATCTTCAGAACATGTTCATACACATTAGCCAAAACAATGTTTTCTTTGTAACACGGTAATCCTTATGAGGTGATTATAATAATTTATTTCAATAATATTGAAGTGTTAATGTACCTGTCCCAGACACAGTCCCTCTTTAGTGTAATAGTACAAAATATGCAGGATGATGTGTTAACTGATGTTGTCCGAGATCATATCTTTTTGTTTTAAATTTTCAAGTGAAGGATGTCGTGCTGTCAGCAATGGTTGGTTGGATTGTTGTTTAACGCCGCACTCAGCAATATTCCAGCTATATGATGGCGGTCTGTAAATAATCGAGTCTGGACCAGACAATCCAGTGATTAGTATCATGAGCATCGATCCACACAATTGGGATATGATGACATGCATAAACCAAGTTAGCAAGCCTGACCATCCGATCCGGTTAGTCGCTTCTAACGACAAGCATAGTCACATTTTACGACAAGCATGGGTTGCTGAAGACCTATTCTACCCCAGATTTTAACAGGTCCAACAATGGTAGGATAATCTGTTGTGCAGTTAGCATGGTCAGCATGGAGAAGAAGAACGAAATCACACCCTGATAACTTATTATCAAACATTATTTCAGGCTGTTTTGAATTTTGAGGTGTGTGAAATCTACATTGCAATTGAATGTATTAGCATTATTTTCAAGTGGATGATTAAGAGGTCTTATTCCAACGATGACATATGTCACAGATACATGTGTATGATGCATACCTCTACCTGATTGTTAATGTATATGAGACATGTGAACAGACAAGTGGGCTACACTAATTTGAGTTATGAGTGAAATATTAAAGACCTCTGATAGCCCAGTTACATTTCCCTGTGGACTACCAACTGTGGGAGGAAAGCTGGAAGTGATACAGGTCTCAGACGTTTACCACTTTGGTGAAACCCACCAGCACGGGTATGTTGACAAACCCAGAACCATAATTGGGGCAAACCGAATTGGTGCCCACGATTAAAGGACCTAACCAACTCTTTACAGTGATTTGTGGGCACAGTTTATGTTTAGGGCCAAATTATTTAACATTGTGTTAGTGTCCCCAGACAAGGCAACTTCTCCACACATCATTCAGTTTCACCGAGTTAGCACGACCTGTCTAGATGCCTCAGTATACAGTAGCACACTAGAAACACCTAATGCATAAGATATAACCAGTCATGCAGTCATAAAAGCTTGGCATTTTATATCTGTCCTGACAAAAGGTTTTATGGCAGTTATTATGTGAACATGGTGAAGTGGCTACCGTATACTTGCTGAATTTAGCACCTTGAGTACTCAAGATGTGGAACTGCAAGATGACTAAAACTAGAGATTAACATGATGGTCAAGGATGGTCAACAAACAACTTTTTCAGACAGTTCTACAAGACTGAAGCCAGATTACCATGATTACAGTACAATAATTTTCATTCTAGTGAACACTTTTAAAAATAATTCCATACATAAACAGTAAGACCCAATGAAAATGATGTGGGCTATTTGGGTTATTTTTCATTTATTTATTTCAAACACTGCTAGTGGCTGAGCAGTGTATATTATATATTCATATATATATCAAGTGTATGAAGAATACACATGGTATAATACAAATATATATAACAGTAGGTTGTCATTGACTTAAATCCCTTTTTTTAGGTTAATGTTTTTATTGGATTAAGCTACATGTAAATAATTGGTAAGTAAAAAATCCATTACCATGACAACAGTGTTTGAAATTAAGGATGAAAGTTAACATTATTAAGGAGTCATTGACATTATTCAATTTTTAGAGGATGTAAGCAGTCCCCCGATTAAATAACTGAAAGCACCACAGAACCAGAAGTCCTAATTCTGTATTATCACATGAAATTCCATGAGCAGGCATTTATAAGCAGTGGGCGCTAAATACATAAGATACAGTAACACATGTTGACAATGTGGAAAAAATCATTTAGGCGTCTAAAAGTAGGTCAGCATGAATGGATCTTGTCAGTTGTATCCTCGCACAGCTGAGTGCAAAGTTTAATAGTTGCACTATTATCAACAAGAGCTTACTGCTGATACATACTGATACTGTCATTATATTTTTACAAACAGGGTATCATCTAAGACCTTAAAAATGGCAACAACTGAAATAGCCTCCTTAAAAGTACACCTTAAGCTAGGAAAGCATGTCATGATGGACAGCAGAGTACAATTTGAGCTTCCACGACAAAAATGGACACAGCATCTATAAAAGGCTATAACGAGTTAATGGGTCAACAAAGATCTGATCAATAGACTCTTGGTAAGCTAATTCCATAAGATATAAAGGGGGAGGGGAGGGGAAGGGAAGGAAAAACCTAGGGTGGAGAATCCAGAATTGAGAGGAGAGTGGGACGGGGGAGAAATGGGGAGAGGGGGTTTGTGAAAGCAGGATGGGGAAGGGAAGCTGGAGGGAGTGTGGGGTAGGGGTAGAGGAAGAATGAGTGGTGGAGAAGTGGGATGAGGATGCAATATCCCAGTCAGAATTCCTTATCAATGATTTCTTTCTCAGTCACCAACAGGGTCCACAAGATGACTGTGAGACTGATTTCTACTGAAGGTAATCTGCAGGTAATGCTTTGCTACTTTGATCACACAGCTTGACAGGTGCTTGTGCTTTACAAATTAACAATGTCTAGATTTGCCCATCTTGCTTCCAATAAGTAGTTCCTACACCACCATAAGCTTCTCAGAGAATTAGCTGACCAAACCAATCACCACTGTAGCCATTCTTGAGGGCTCTAATTTAAGATTATGACATGTGGTTTACACACAGTTTACTTGGCACTTCATCATATCTGATTGATGTGTCTGGACATAAGGACACTCTGATGTCTATGAGATGAGTTCATTTTAAAGGGGCAAAAGGCATGGGCAAACTGGCAGTCCAAGGAAACCGGATTCAAACAGTCTAAAAACCCACTCTGATTGCCTGCTCAAATTTTATGACATATTCAAATTTAATAGTTAATGCTTTCCCCAATTACAAAAAGACAATATTTCAGTTTCACACAAGACATTCAATAAGCATAATAAGAACTCTAGACCAAGGCTTGAAATGAACACAAGACTTTAAATTGGACACACTTTAATAAATAACAATGAACCAAGGACATTGTTGTAATCTTCATGTTCATGCATTTTGTCTAGCCAATGTAAATCCTTCTTTGTGGCTTTGTAAATTTTTACTCTGATTTGATGCCTCTCTGTTTCAAGATATGACAAACCCTCCAGTGGAGATCATGTCTTTATGAGAATGAGTGACTGAGTTGGGTTTAACGTCACTTTGAAAAGTATTCCAGTTATATCACAGCATGTCAGCTTAATGTGGGAGAAAAGCCCGAAGCGATTCATGTGTCAACGTTTTCCACTTTGGTGAAACCCGTGAACACAGGTACGATGATGCTGATGAACCTAAAAACATAATCAGAGCGAACCAGGATTCGAACCCACGATAAGCCATAACATAATACATGCATTAAGAAATGTTAAGCTGGTACAGGTATCTCTGTTTTCTGTTGAGAAATGACACAAGAGTAACAACCGGGCATAAATAGCAAGCTCAGGTGAGTTCCAAAGGCATTTGGACTTTGTAAAGAATGTCATCTATACCTGTAACTCCAGTCATATAAATGGTGCTGGGCACATTGAGAGAAAAGGCATGACAGTTAATAATATTGTGATTATTCCCAGGGATTTATCAAGGATCTTAAACAAGTACCCTTGGCAGGCAAAAATGGGAAAAAAATATTTTTTTGGTTCCTAATTGGGATATTTTTAATTGTAGTGTTTTTTTTAAATCAAAGGTATTTGAACATGTTGAACAAGTACTTTCATATTTAATTCAAAGCCATAATGTAAATCTAAGCATTAAAGTTTCTTCCTCTACATAGGTCCTGTTATCAGTGAAATACATTGGTTGTACTGTCTGAGCATAAACTAGGTAATGATTAATTCCAATTTGGGGAATTTACGGACATTTGCAACAGGCTTACTAAATTGGGGCCGAATATCGTCTCTGAGCATGCTGAGTAGGTCTAGTAAATCCTTGAATTCCATCCGGATGAGGAAGTGATCAG